TAAAGGCATAAAAATCCAAAAATATACCTTAAAAAACTCAATTTTTTTAGCTTTTGGGTTCTAAATGGCTATCGGATATTCTGTTATTTAAAGCAGCTTCATTAACTGGTAACAAAGTGAACCAGACTCCATTGATAAAAAACAAACAGTACTATGTAGAAGAGGAGAGTTTCTGCTTTATTGTGCCTGCTCAGTTTATTTGAGTTATCATAAAACCCTTAAGTTAACAAGCAGTAAACAATCGACCTCCTGTTTGAGGGGTCAAATGAAAGTCCTTCATTTGTGCTTTTAACAGGAACAATGTCATCTGTTTTATTTTAAAGTTTATACCTCTGGAGTGATTATTTCTGATATTTTGAGAGTCAGAGTTTGGACCTTCTTTGCCGAGTTGTCCCAGAGGATTACTTTGAAATCATTTCAGTCGATTTCCCCGGCTGCTGGCTGAACGTCCACGGAGCGTTTCCAAAGACTTTTTGTATTTATGAAATATTTAAACGCCCAAAATATTTCCAAATAGGACCCAGCCCGGCCTTGAATATTTGATAATAGTTGTTTGTAACGTCTCAAGCTGAATGACTTCAATCTGAGGGTTATTTAAAAATGAATGCCTGACTGTCCTCAGATATCACATGATGATAAGTGAATCAGTGTCGCAGTGTTGAGAGATAATGGACAGGAAGTACATGCAGCATGATGAGGAAGTTTCAGAGTGAGAGAGTAAAATGTTTAAAGCAGAACTGTTCCATCTGCTTTCTTTTGCTTCAGCATGTTCCTGTGTCAGTCTGAGCTGTAATCTGTGCGTGTGCGTGTGCGTGTGTGTGTGTCTGTGCTCGCTCCAGCCTCACAGCAGCACCACACCTTCATGTCCTTGAATGACAGCAGATACGCTGAGGCATGCTGCATTTCCCCCCCGCGCTAAAAAAAACATCTGAACAGAATTCAGCAGAGGTTTTATTGTTCTCAGAACAGCCTGATGGACAGTCGGCTGTCACGATACCATCATTTCAATCTTTCCTGCACACTGCTCTCTTTCTTTCCCTTCGACAGCTTTTGGTGAAATTAACACCTGAAGATCTGATCTTTTTTTTAAGCTTTGGGTCCTTTTGATATTATAAAATTTGACCAATCAATCTTTTAAACATGACAACATGTCACTGGCCTGCTCACAGGGCTCGATCAGACTCTGCTGATAAGAGGCTGAAGTGTCCTTTGAAGGGACAGCTTGGGGGTCTTTCCTGTGACCCTGCAGGGCGGGGATGAAAGCGTGTCGTCTTTGTGATCTGCAGCGTTGTGTGTGCAGGTCTGAACCTGTCACTGGTTGTAGTTTCTCTGCAGCTCGTCACCACTCCCAGCAGCCTCCGTCCTGATTGAAAGCTGCACTCTGATGCAGTACAGGAACACGCTCTTTAAATCTGTGAGCTGTGGTCTGAAGGATGGGGGTTTGATGCCCGGCTCCTGCAGCGTGCAAATGTGTATGAATGGTGTTCTTGATTTGTTCTTTGCCTGATATTGTGTTGTTTCTATTTTTGTCTTTTTCTGTTCCATCTTGGACTTTTTGTTTTGTTTTTATAATTTCATTTGTGTGGATTTTAAATTCATGTTTGTATGAGTGGACCCCAGGAAGAGTAATCACTACTTAGGTAGTGGCAAATGGGGGATCCAAATGAACAACAATGGGATTAGTAAGTGAACGGGGTGAATGTGTGTCATATAAACATTGTAGGAAGCACTCTGAGGGTCAGGTGACTAGAAAAGTGCTGCGTGAGAACCGTCCTTTTTACAGTTTGATTACTGGACAGTCAGCAGCTCGAGACATGGCAGCATTTCATCGGGTTGTTATATCCACTTTGATTGACGACAACATTTCATGTGTTTTTTTATCCTGTATCCAAATCATCTTCTATAGCTTTAAATGAAAATGTGATTTTTCTGTGGCTCCTTCCACCTTCACATGATGAGCTACTCGACTCGTGTACAGCACTTTTTAAACCATCGACGTTAAACGACAGTAACGTCTGTTTGAAGATGTTGAAGTCTTTGTTTTTTTTGCAACAGATTAACAATAGTTAGTAACTTTAAACACATTGTACCCTCTCCTCTGCCTGAGCCGTGCTGGAAGGTGATCTTGTTTTTTGAGTTTTGAGTCGACGGTGATGGAGCTGCTTCTCTCCGATTGTGCTAAACTGAGCTGAATCTTCCTGTCGTTGCCGTGCCACTTCCTGCTGCATTGTTGTTAAATCCGAGTGTGTGTCCGTGTGTGGTACAGGGGGGCATTATCTTTCCACTCCCCCCCTCCTCCCTCCTGCTCCCCTTTACTCTCTCTGTATGTCTGTTTGTTTATCTGAAACGTATCCCCCCACCTCCCCTTCCCTCCTCCTCTCCGTCCTCACAGTGGGTCCTGGTCCTGGTCCGGTCTCAGGATGGGACCCCCCCTCCTCTCCCTCCTCTCCCTCCTCTCTCTCGCTCTATATATATATATACATGTATGATTGTGTGTTGGGGGCTGGTATGGGACGGTCTGGGGGAGGGTCACAGAGCCAGAGTAGGCTGCACAGGGGGCTGAAGGGTGCCATTATCCACGAGGCTCAATGGGCGCTTTGTGCCGGTGGTCACAGTGGGCCAGTGGGGAGAGGGGCAGGGCAGCGAGCAGCACCCTGTCATAATGTTGGTTTTTTTTTTACACAGAGCAGGAAGGGCAGACAGAGAGGAGGTGGAAGAACACTGAGAGTCGTTTAGCTGATTTTATATTTCTGTCAAACACAGAAAGTGTGAGTTGGTCTCAGATTACATGAGATGTCATGAATTTAGAGTCCAAGAGTTTCAAATGACTCCACAATGACTCCTCGTCTTCTTCACTCGTTGAATCGTTGGTTTAAAATCAATAAAAAAAATGGTTTGAGCGCTCTCGAGATTTCCTCTTAATTTGCCTCACTGCGTCAGTTCTCCTCACGGCGGCTTCTCATCACATGAACGTTTAAAAAACAAACAAAAAAGTGTGAAACGAGGCGACTCCAGAAGGGACAAGCCGACTCCCTGAGAGCCTGCTCGATGCTTGAATGAATCGTGGGATTTGACCACACTCAGCACTCAAGCACTTCCTGGAAACACGCCCACAAAGTCGACCAGAAAGAGTCTACTAAAGATGTTTAATGTGCAAAGATATACAACTGAAGGGAAACTGAAAATCCTCCTTAAAGCTTCAGAATTTACAAAATGACACTGATATGAAAACCTTTGAATGAACATTTCAGCAGGCGCCTGCGTCGTAGAAAAAAGACCGTTTACTCCACATTCCTGCTGGAGATTTAACGTCTCCCTTCCTTATTTCTCCCTCTACATACTGCATGTTCCCTCTGAAGATATTCACTATTCTGTTCAGTGAAACAACACAAAGCTCTCTGTGCTTGGTGCTGGTTAGAAGTCACTTCCCTTGCAGGACGTTGTGACATTTCAAAGATGCCAGTTTGTCAATGTGAAATACGAGCACCAGCCCGACATTCAACATGTATTTTGGGTCGCTTGGCATTTTTACGTTCTTCCCCTAAATTATGTAAGAAGCCAGAAAAAAACATTGGACACATTGATTGATGATGTGCCATAGCTGAGATTTCTGCAGCGTGGCGTGACAGTCCCGTGCCCTCGTCGCTCCCAAAGTTCACAATCAAATGATTTGAAGCACTCAAACATGGAGGCCAGGCAGAGACTGATGTGCGTCTGTGATTTGTTTGTTGAATCAGTCTGATCTCAGATGTTTGACTCGTCTCTTTTTAGAGATCAGCGGTCGAGTTTCTTACTCATAAACCTCTGGAAGCGTCGGGCTTTGAATCTTTGATCTTTTTAAAGTTGTCAACATTTTGCACACAGTTCTTTTTGATACCACATGTTGATCTGATCTCTGCTGTCTTAATGATCGATAGCATCGCAGACTACTGAAGCTGCAGTCATCATGATTTATCCAAAGCTGCCGAGAGAGAGAACTGCAGTTTGTCTTTTTGGTTTCTCATAAAAGATCCCAAAGTATTTGTGTTATTCAAACTGTCAAAACTTAAAGGTGGAACAAATCGAGTATCAGCTGCTTAGGACTTCGATATTTGTTGCCATGGTATCGAAAAACAGTTACGGATATGATTCAATGTTTTTCTAATGTTGTAACAAAGTTTGGATTACTGGTACCGAGACAACCCAGTTTAGTTTCATCTCACAAAGACGAGGATGTGTTTCCTGTTTGTGACCACAGGAAGGTTGTCAAAATGTTTCATAATTAGATATTTGGAATACTTTTTATACACACTGATTCAGAACAACACATTCTCTGTTTTTGAAATAATCGGTAGTTTTCAGCTTTAGATTAAAAAAACGGATCATCTGTCGTATTTTTACAGAGAGAGAGAGAGAGAGAAATGCAGACAGTTAGCTTGACATTTTTGGTAATAAATAAAAAGGAAATGACCCAAAATTAGCGGACTTGGACAGTTACTTCTGTTCCCATGGTGACAAAAGAAGGATTGAGATCATCTATTTTTGACTAGGATCGTATTAAACTTCAACATCCTGGTATTTATTGACAACTCTAGTCAACAGGTGAATTATTCCCACAGTGTGATAGAAGAAAAGACTGTGAGGAGAGAAAGTGAGTGAGTCATGAAAAAGAGGTTTTTGACTTCGTTAGCTCGTGTGTTGATTTTATTCAGCGTTGAACTGCGAGCGGCACATTTTCACGTGTTTGACATTTTGTTGAGAATGTTCTTTTTCCGAGATCACTCGATGTTCTTGTTTCCATTGTGTCATAACAACGTCTGTCTCCGCCCCCTTTTCTTCGGCCGCTTCCTGGTTTTTCAAAAAGCTGCTCTCTGACCTCCTTTTCCCGTCTATTCAATTCAGATTTCTGTGATTTCTTTTTTCAATTCAAAGATGTTTATTGTCATGAAAAGCTGAAAAAACACAGAATAATAACCCCTCCCCCGCCTCCCCCCCTCTCCTGTTTTTGTGTTCTCCCTCAGACCTTCACTGCCTGGTGTAACTCCCACCTGAGGAAATCCGGAACGCAGATCGAGAACATCGAGGAGGATTTCAGAGATGGACTCAAACTCATGCTGCTGCTGGAGGTCATCTCAGGTAACTCCTCATCTTCATCATCCTCATCATCATCTGCAGGACCCGAAAGCTCTGAGTCACCAGCAAACTAGTCCCAAGTTTTTAATTAAACTTAAGTGGCTGTTGTGATATCAGATTAATGTTCACAAGGAAGCTGTCCAACACACACACTTCCCCACACACACACACACTTCCACACACACACACACTTCCACACACACACTTGTATTTCATCGAGCTGGGGCCGGAGTTTCAAAGCTGCCCCCGAGCTGTCTGTCAGAGTGAAAAATGTTGTCAGATGTTGAAGAAGCGCAGCGTCTGTGTCCTCTGCAGGGCGTGGTCGTTCAGTTTTCTAACCTCAGATCTGAGACGTTTATTAAAAAACAGGAGGAACACCCTGCTGCTGCAGATCTGCTGTATCTGTGAGAGATACTGTAGGTCCTCTCTGGGGGTTTTTTGGGTTTAATTGCGGGGTTGCAGCAGTGAACGGGTTCCTATTGGCGGGGGTAGAGGACTATTTGGACTGCTGTTACCCCGTAATGAACTTTTGACTCTGTGCAGATTTTTTATTCACATTAATGTCAGCTCTTTTTTCTGCTGCGCGTGATGCTGACATCCCCGCTGTAACGTTAGCTTCCTGACTGAGAGTCGTTCTGCTGAGCCCGTGGAAACACCGCAGGAGCTACCTCACTCACTCACTTTGTGCTTGTTCCCTTGTGTGTGTGTGTGTGTGTGTCTGTGTGTGTGTGTGTCTGCAGGAGAACGGTTACCCAAGCCCGAGCGAGGAAAGATGAGGGTCCACAAGATCAACAACGTCAATAAAGCTCTGGACTTCATCGCCAGCAAGGGAGTCAAACTGGTCTCTATCGGAGCAGAGGGTAAGCCTGCAGTCATTCAGATTCAGATTCAGATTTTTTATTGTCCCCCAAGGGGAAATATGCGTTGCAACAGGAGCACACAGAAGACAAGAAACACAAGGACAACATCAGCATAAAAACATGAACCAAACAAATTTAAAAAAAATCAGACAACACAGCAAAATATAAAACCAAATAAAATCAGTCAAGAGCTCATACCAGAATGGAAATTCAGGTTATTAAAGTGCAAAGTGGAGGTGTGCAAATGTGCAATTCAAGTGCAAAAAGAGCAACAAATAGCTAATTGTTGTTTAACATATTAATTGCACTTGTAAAAATGAGACCTGGAGTCTTTCAGTCTTCCTCACAGGAGCTCTAAAATGACGACCTGAGGGTAAAAGGTCAAACTCAGAGTCATCAAACAAAGATCCCCCGAACAGAGTGAAATATTAAACATGTTCCACATGAACGTCAGAAACCTCAAAAACGCCCCAAACACAGATTCAGTCCTCGGTTTTCACTGTGAAAACTATAAACACATTTCTTTACAATGTATGGCCCCTTGGCAAAAGTTTTTCAATCTTTGTGTTTAATCCACATCAACATGAAATGACCTTTGACCCTGGATTAATAAATGAAAAGGTCACAGCACCTCTCACTGATCTTCCAGAGTCAGACAGACTCTTTTTTATCTCCTGCATGAACTGAACATCGACGTTCAGGAGCAATATTTGAACCAGCAGCAGCAGCAGAACTACATCCTTATATTGAGTTAATCTGCTATTTTTCAAGAAACAAAAGGACAAGGATGCTTCATGTGTCGATATGTCACTCCTACAGGATCTCTGGGGCACAAAGTCGACTTATCCATTAATGTCTGTGCAGCTCAGAGTGACCTGAGTACAGGTGTTAGATTACACTTAGGAGTACACAAGTGTGCAGATATTTTGGGCTTTGATTTGTTGACTTTTCAAAATGCAACATAACACTTAGCAGTAAAACTCCTCCTTATAAGTATTCCTCTGTTCTGCTGATGAAGGACTGACGTTTGAGGCTGTGCAACTAAACACTGAGAAGTGTGTGTGTGTGTGTGTGTGTGTGTGTGTGTGTGTGTGTGGGTCAGCTGGAGCAGAGTGACCTCTCTACTGCTCTATCAGGACAAACGTTATTTCTGCAAGTTGACACTTCTCTCACTGAAGAGAATCGAACATAAACTAAACTTGGCCAAAATCCTGCAATCCTACACACACACACACACACACACACACACACACACACACACACACACACACACAGTCTGATTCTGGCCTTTAATGAAAGCAGCCCACTGAAGGTCATCTTCTGGAAACTGGCAGACAGAAACACCGTTTAAAAAAAACGGAATAGAAAATAATGAAGGGCTTTACACATCGGATCACATCGGGATTTAATGTCAGAATCATCGTATTATGTGTGTTCACCACATTTATCATGTACTCAGGATAAACTTTGAACAGTCTTAAATTGACTTTGGCGCGCTGGAATCGTCTAATCTCTTTTATCTCAGCCTCCAATGAAATCCTGTCGTGTGACTAAAGCGTGTTAGTGCGATGAGAGAGGAGGAAGTCCTTCACTCTTCTGTGTCAGAGGTCGTTTAAGAGACGTTTCCTGGTTCATCAGGACTTTAACTTCAACCTTTCTGCTTTCAATATAACCACAGAGGTTGCAAGACAATCCTGAAGAGAGAATTAGGCTTTGATTCATCACTCATTAAAAAGTGAAGCACTGAAGACTTCAGCAGATTAGAACTACAGAAGTGAAAGACGTGGATACTAAACGCAGCAACGAGGAATGAAAGCCATGTTGGTACAAATTCACAGCTGACATCCAGGCGGTGATTGATACACTGGAAGATGAAGCATGAGAAAGTCTGAACATTTGAACTATGAGTGGAATCTAACCCGCACTGCTTGCCTTCCTGTCCTCATCGCTGTTTGTCTGTGAGCTCATTAAGCTGAGAGATATCTGTGGATCGTGATGGGAAACATGATATAATCATTACAATGTTCCAGACAGGAAATATTTTCACTCTGCTCAATAGGTTTGTAAAGGTTAGACGAGTATTTCTCCTTAAAATCAAAGAAATAAAACATAGTTTTCAGGACAAGAATCAGACCTTTAAGGTCAATAACGTGTCAATAAGGAATTAAATCTCTCTTTTGAAGAGGTTAAATACCGATGCACCTCTGTGCATGTGATCCATTTTCTTACAAAAACAAAAAGTGATTATATTTTCTTTATCTCCTTGTTCATATAGTGGACAGTACATCAGCAGGAAACCAGTGAATGGCGTGCTTTAGAATGTCCCCACAGGGACACATAATGTGTTTTAAACTGATGGAAAAAAAAAAATGACTTCCTGTATTCTATGAAAGGAATCAGTGTGTAAGTACCACAGTTGCACGAGAGCAGGAGATTGGTCAGCTGTGGAAAGTGCACAGTTGTGTGTGGGTGTGTTGGCGTTGTTAGAAGAAGCAGCAGATGTAAGTTTGTAAAAAAACAAAAACAACAGAAGTGTTAGACAAGGTTCATGATCCAGAGTGAATCTTAATGCAACACAGAAAGAATGATCATGTGTTTGTGTGTGTCTGTGTGTGTGTGTGCAGAAATAGTGGATGGAAATGCAAAGATGACCCTGGGAATGATCTGGACCATCATCCTCCGCTTCGCCATCCAGGACATCTCTGTAGAAGGTACGACTTGTTACTGCCCGTTTCATTTGAAAGAGCAGAGAACAACTAGAGCGCCGCAGCAGCAGCCTGACGTGTTTTTTACTAGATTCATGTTGTGCAGGAGAGCTGACGATGGATTTTGTAGGAAGTAGAGTGGAAGTAAAACGACATGAAAACCATCCACACAGACTAACAGGGGTAAAAACAGGTCTCTTCTACATGAGAGCTAACTACATCAACTCTAAGACTGAGGATGATTATGTGCAAGCAGTCAGAGCTAGGAGCAAAGTAGGGGCAGAAATATTAGTAAAGATAAACTTTATTGATCCCCCATGGGAGACATTTTTCAGCTCAAGAAACAGGAATATGATTATTAAAAATAACACAAAGTTAAAAATCAGACATGTACATCTGTTAAATAAAGGGCTGAAAAATACAACAATAGAATAATACAAGGTATGTACACTTCCACTTGTGGAAAGAGTTATTATTATTAAAAACACACAGTGTGTAGCATTATTGATATGAATCATAAGGGTTAGGTTTGTAGTATTTTTAGTATTGGGTGGAGGAGCTGCAGGAGGAGGAGCAGTGAAGTAGTGCTTGCACTATGAGGAAGAGGAGTTGTTGCATAATTAATACAATGTTTTTAATCTTAAGGTGCTAAAGTCAAAGACAGGAAACATCGTCATTTATCAAATCATTTCAATGATGACTGAATCAGTGAACGAGCTCTAACTCTTCCATCATGTAGAAAGTGATGTTAGCCTCTAGTGAGCTTCATGATGTCTCAGTCCGAGCTGTGATGACTCTTTAAGCTGCTAATTAAAACAGTCTGTGTTGAATTAAGTGTGGTGGGTGTGGGCCTCTGCAAAGGAATATTGAGTCACAGTTTTTTTTTACTCCTCATATTAACGACTGATATGAATCTGATGTTTGTTCAGGCTCAGGCAGTAAACAAAAACATCCTCCGACTGCCAGAGCTCTGGTTTTATACTTATGCTCTCTGCAGCTCTCTGCAGCTTTCTGAGTTTGTGCACCATTAATGCATTTAAAACATTTCCATAGTTTGATTCAGTGTAAAGAAAAGACATTTCTTTACTGTGTTCTTCTTCTCTCTTTCTTCCTCCTCTGTCTTTTCTTCACTGCAGAGACTTCTGCGAAGGAGGGTCTCCTCTTGTGGTGCCAGAGGAAGACCGCTCCCTACAAGAATGTCAATGTGCAGAACTTCCACATTAGGTAACACACACACACACACACACAACACACACACACAGGAATACACACGCTTTAAGGTCTGACCTGGGTTGTAAGTGGTGTTCTTGGATGGAAGCTGTTGACAGAAGTTCAGTCAAACCTTTTCTCTGTAACGTTGATAGAAGAGATCAGAGTTTGTTTAGCTGCAGTCTGCAAAGAACTGTCACGAGATCAGAGCTGCAACACGCAGCAGACAGATGTTAAACATGCTGATGTTGTAGTTTAACACAGACACAACACTTTGTGGTTTATTAGTGAACATGTAGATGTATGCAGGTGTCATCATAAGCTCACTCTGATGAATGAAAGCAGGTGTGCTGTCCAGGAACATTTCATATTCAGCACATCAACTGCTACTACAGTGTAGAAAGGTTGCCCCCTGCTGGACAAACTGGAACATTGCATCACTGAAGCATTTTTCACTATTGTTACAGATTAATGTAAATACAAATAAAAAAATAATATAATGTTTAAATGTGATGAGACTAGTCTGGATCAGGTCGAAGAAATGCACCTCAAGTTTTAATCTTTTAAATTAGCTTTTCCAAAAGTTATGGATGAATGTGTTTTCTCCTCGGTCAAATTTTCTAAACCAAGCATCCTTCAATCACATGAGAACAGGATGAGCAGAAGCTAGAGATGAATTTACAGAATATGTGATGTCCCCCCCTCCCCGCCTTATGTTCAACTCTTCTGTTCTCATTAACAGCTGGAAGGACGGCCTCGCCTTCAACGCTCTGATCCACAGACACAGACCTGATCTCATCGACTACGACAGCCTCAGAAAGGTACACACACACACACACACACACACACACACACACACACACACACACACACACTCTCACACGCTCGCTCTGACCTCATCAGGTGTTTAACTTCTGGATCACACACATTTTAAAACATGCTTAACTTGCTCCTAATAAAATAAACCTTCATTAACCTTTTCCTAAGTTGCACGTTTGCTCTGTTTTGTCGTTGTGATCGTTTGTTTAGGACGACCCTGTGACCAATCTGAACAATGCCTTTGAGGTGGCTGAGAAGCACCTGGACATCCCCAAGATGTTGGACGCAGAAGGTAAGCTGGACTCTCCTGTCGAGTTTGTTTATGATTATCTGCTGTTGATTTTAAAGATACCTTTTCTATTATTATCACTGTAAACGTTTGTTTTTATTCCCTATTTTGAATCCAGACTGTTTACTATAATCTGCTGAGTTTGCATGCACACAACACGATGACTGTTGCTCATACAGTGACTCAGTATTCAGTTCATGACTTCATTGACAGATTGTGGAGTTGGCAGGTTCTTAATCTGTAATGTAGGAGCTCAGGTGACAAACTCACATGTATGGAGATCTCCTAAAAATGATTAAAAATGTGAAATCAAGTCTAAATTCAATCTGATGCATTTCAAATAAATGAAGCTGAAACCCGACTTGATTCTTAAAGGTAGAAACAGAGATAAAAAACAACAACACTGACCTGATTCCTGATGTGCAGTAAAGCTGCTCTGACGTCTCTAACAGCCTCCTGTGCATGTTAGAGAAGCTGCACAGTCACATCAGATTACAGAGTATGACCTGAACCTTTTTATCACCTCTCTCTCTCTCTGAGCAGTCACAGTGTTGATGATGTGCATGTAAATGTAGCTTCTGTTGTTGTTGTTGTTGTTGTTATGAGATTTTACTGTAGGTCGTCTTCAAGACCAGTGGAGCCTCCATCCCTCTCCTTCACCTCTCCGTTCCTCCCTTAATGTTTTGTTTAGTAAAGAAGATGTTGATGTCTAAATCTGTACTAAGAAGGGGCAGACCAATTTAAAAGACTGAAGGCTTAGGGTGATATTAAGCCCCACACACACACACACACACACACACACACACACACACACACACACATCAAAAAACATAAAAAAGCAAGTTGATTTTTATTTTAGTGTTCTGGCTGCACGATGGGACAAAAGGCAATCATTTTGATTTTTCTCTTCATGACTTATATTTTATTTGCTTTTCTTGATGAGGATACATCAAAATAAACACAACTTGTGTCCAAACTTTGGCGTCAGTTTAGCCTCCTTCTAAATAGTCCATTCTCTTCAGACTTTGTGATGGGTTTTAAAGTCAGTCCACTTTTTCCATTTTCCTTGGCATGCAGATTGTTGTAGTCTTGAATTGTGTGTAAAGTTAATCATCTTGATTTTAACTATGATTGTGACATGATTCATCATGGATTGGATTGAAGTTTTGCCAAGTACAGTTTTTACTGTGTCTGAAATGATTTATACAATCCTCTTTTTTTGGGGGGCTTTGAAGCAAACAAACATGATTTGGTCTCAACTGGACAACGAGTTATCCCTCCAGCTCTTCATCACAGATATAAACTTCAAAACACACCAGCTTGTTCACATAGTTTCATTCCATAAAGATGCATCTCTCTTGTTATAAAGTAAACTCGGTGTGAAGCGTTCTCTCCAGTGCAGGGACACGTTGGTCTGACCCTTCTTTGTACAGTCGTCTTGTTTTTGTTTTGTAAATGTCGTTCAGAGTCGTCCTGTCTGGCTGTGTTCGGCTGCAGAAGCTTGTTAAACATGTCTTTATTTGTTTGCCAGCCTGCTTGATGCATCAGTGTGTGACCTGTTGTGTATAATCTCATGTCCTGCCTGTTTATGTGTGTACATGTGTGTGTACATGTGTGTGTACGTGTGTGTGTTGATAACCACGGTCTCCCCTCTGTAGACATTGTGAACACTGCTCGTCCAGATGAGAAAGCCATTATGACTTATGTGTCCAGTTTCTACCATGCCTTCTCTGGAGCACAGAAGGTACCCCCCCCAACCCCCCCATCCCCCCAAACCCCCCTCGCCCTCGCCATGCGCTTGAACCCCCTCCTCTGTTACTAACAAGGTGCTGCTTCCTGTCCAGCATGGCGTCACACACTCTCTCTACAGCTCTGCTCAGCCCTGAGACTCATCAAGGACACTGGGTGAACTGGGACACAACCCCACACACACACACACACACACACACACACACACAGAGTGAAGTTTACTGTGCTGGTAACTGTGTTTTCAGACGCTTTCTTGTTAAACTGAGCCTAAAAACAGAAGAAGTCTGCAGAGCAATCAGCAGTCTTTGTGGATGAAAAATGAAGCGTACCGTATGTGGAACGTGCAAAAAAATACTGCAGTTCCTTGAGTGTCCACTTGAGGCATTAACACCCAGATTAAAATCACCGTTTATACAGCAGAAATAAAAATGTTTACAACCTGATACAATAAAGATTTTATGTCTTAGAGCTCATTTCTTTATTGGAAGAACTGCTCTGTGAATAAATCATCTGTTTTTGATTATATTAAAAGTAGGAGTTTTGTATAAATTTGCATAATTAGGGGTGTTGACAGCCGGGTGTGTAGTTGCTGGACCTGTTTTCTAGGAGTCCTAAAGCTCCACCTCTGTTTCTAGTTTGATGAAAAGTTAGGTAGAGTCAGCGTTTCCAATATGGCAACCGCCCTCGTTGGACTTCATATCTTCAGAAACCAATGGGCGACGTCACTGAGACGACGTCCATGTTTCATACAGTCTATGGTGGAGATCAGCTGTTAAAGTTAAAGCTCAGATGTTTATGATTATTTAGCACTTGTTTTTTTTAGTCCTCTAACATCGTGTGTGCAGCCAGGGAAAGTTTCTGTGTAGTTCAACTGCATGCAGTGTTTGAACAGAGACAAACAGAGTTCAAAGGTCGACCTCTTTTCCAGATGGAGGCATTGCTTTTAGATATATCTGACTGTAAGTGAGTCTGTTAGCTGGACTTGGTTTCTTTCTCTCCTCTCCTTCACTACCTCCTCTCTTATGTTCCCTCCCTCCTCCCCCTGAAGGCCTCCGACAGGAAGCCAGTTGAGGCGTCTCCTTGTTTTGCTCCTCTTCCTCTTAATTAATTTCTGCCCCGTTCAGAACTTGTTTGTGAAGCTCGGCGGTCTCAGGAGACGCACACATACACATAGATCTGTGCTTGAGTGCAGCGGTGTGTGTGTGTGTGTGCGTCGACTTGTTCCATGTGCAGCTTCTTCTCCCTGAACGAGTTACTGTTGTTGTTGTTGTTGTTTTGGTTTGTTTAAAAACAAACTTCTACTGCTTTTACCAGCACAGTACTTCATTTTCATACATCATCAGAGTTTGAATAAACACACTGATTCAGGCTTCATTTAGCTCTTAAGTGTGTGTTTGTGTCCCAACCTCGAGCTTTGCTGCTCCAGTGTCCCTGAACTCTCCTGAAAGGACACCTGTCCTCCTCGTCCTCTCCTCGTCCTCTCTGACCTGGAGTCAGTGTGGGGCGTAAAGGAGGAACTTGAAGCTGTGGACCAACGGAGGGAGAATCTGTCTCCTCTTGCTCTCACTTCCTGTTTGGAGAGACGACCATGTCGCTTGTTTTGGGTTGCTTTGGCTTCACTCCGCCTCTCTCTCTCTCTCTCTCTCTGTCTTTTTGAACCTCTCTCTGTCCTGCTGGGTGCTGGGTGATGCTCAGACATCGTGGGTACGCTGCGGCCGGATGAGAAGGCCATAATGACCTATGTGTCCTGCTTCTATCACGCCTTCTCTGGCGCACAGAAGGTGAGCTCCTCCTCACGCTGCAGACACTAATAACACTTCAGCCGCAGCAAAGACAAGAACCTGCCAGGGTTTCCATCAGGCACGACGTTTAAACCACACACACAGGGGTCAATCTTCTGCAGGATTTAGAGAATCTTTGCTACTGTAGATTCAGAAATCTGTGAGTCAGGGAATATGAGCAGGTGAGGATGATGGGAACCCTGACACAACAACAAACACTCTCTGATTCTTCTGTTTCTTTTTCACATCGACGGATTAACTTGACTTTAATGTCTGGGCTTCATTTTCTTAAAAACTCCTGTCAGTATTAAGATCATTTCAACTCCACCTTTGATCTTTCTACCGATGTGGTTTATGGGAAAAAAAACAGACTTATTCAGCTTTATTACTAAAGGAAAACTCTGATTAATGTTTCTAAAGTTTCTGCTTTTAACACATTTCAGCTCTGAATGTTTGTCTTATTATTCGACATGTTTTTCATCATTATGGATGTATTAGTTTAATCTTAAGAGTCAATATTTAGACACAAAGAAGCTGCTTCAGACTTGATCATGTTGTCATAGTGTGTGTGTACTGTGTTTATGTTCCAGTGGTACAGTAGTGTCATGTCCTAAAGCAGACCTACTGATGGACTTTCAGCGCGTCATGAAACTGTAACTAGAGAAACCGACCGACTCCCGAGTTGTGACGGGAGACGCATGAAGCTTTAAAAACTCACTGAGTGATTTTTTTTGTTTCACGTTGAACTAACCGTCATCAGCTGGAGCATGTTTTTATTAGACAGATATCATTTTATGTTTACATTATGAAGAGGTTTGTCTTTTTTGCACTTCTTTAATAGTGTGTGTTTAAAGTCGTATGTAAACGTACTCCTGCTCACTGCCTGTGTGTGGAGTGTGTTCACACTGATTGATAAATTAGAAACTCTCATCTATCATAATAATGTGATTAAAGTCCAGGTCACACTTTTCAAACTCTAACTTTATTTTTATATTAGTGACTTAAATACACAGTATGCCGTTTGTAAAATGCAGCTGCAGCGAGTGTTGTCACTCAGCTTTTAGCCACGCTGAGTGGATATGCTGACGGCGTCTCATCCAATCAGTGTGAGCGCAACTCATCACTCTGTCCCCTGATAGGCCGAGACAGCCGCTAATCGCATCTGCAAAGTGCTGGCTGTCAACCAGGAGAACGAGCAAATGATGGAGGACTATGAGAAGCTGGCCAGTGAGGTGAGAAACACACACACACACACACACACACACACACACACACACACACACACACACACACACACACACACACACACACACACACACACACACACACACACACACACACACACACACACACACACAGAGAGAACATTTCAAGAGGATGTCACTTTGCTTTAAATCCTCCTTTGGATTTAAAGACACAATGATGTTCATGTGAAAACTTTCATTCAGAAAGTATCATAAGCTGGTTTTTCTCCTGACGTGTTTCCACCTCCTCTTCCTCTTGACTCCTCTCTCTCCTCTTCCTCTTCCTCCTCCTCCTCTCTCCTCCTCCTCCTCCTCCTCTCCTTCTCCTCCTCCAGCTGCTGGAGTGGATCCGTCGTACCATCCCCTGGCTGGAGAACAGAACCCAGGAGAAGACCATGAATGACATGCAGGCCAAACAGGAGGACTTCAGAGACTACCGCCGTGTCCACAAACCACCTAAGGTTTGAAATAACTGGCTGACTGAAGTATATGCAGAGGAAACATTCCCAAGAATATGTTTTCAAATCATGCGTGTCCTTTACTTTTCCTGTCTGCAGGTCCAGGAGAAATGTCAGCTGGAGATCAGCTTCAACACTCTGCAGACTAAACTGAGGCTCAACAACAGACCTGCCTTCATGCCGTCAGAGGGACGCATGGTGTCTGTAAGTGAAAACACAGAGAACATTTCATGCATCCAGATGTTCAAATTAGAAGACACATCAGTTGTACCTGCCTGCAGACAGTCTGCACTTGTAGATAATCCATATGAAGACATAGAGTTATGCTAACAAACCTGCAGACACAACGCACAGAGAGTGAAAAAGGTCTTGATTTCTCTTTGTTAAACTGATGTGTAGCCTCACATGTCAGAGTGGAGTCTGGCTCACACGGTGCGATTTTCCCTCGATTGTATAAAAGTCGGGGTGTCATGTCAGCTCACACTGTGCGACTGAATCGTTTACGACGCCCGACCAGACCTTCAGATTGACGTGCTCACACTGTACGACCCGATTGTCGGGCACGGCCGGAGAGCTCACACTGTACGAGTGAAATCGGGACGGAGCGTTGACAATTTTAATAAAGTTTCATTTGAAAATGCCAACGGACAACGGTTAGTGAAAGAGAAGGAAGTGGAAGTTGTTGTAGGATAGATGAAAGTTGATCCAATTGTAGATATATGGAGACAAGTTTCAGAAAAGTGCTGCACTGATGATCTGTACAGAAAAGTAAAAAAAAAAAATGACTACAGTCCTCTCTTGTCTCTCATGATTATATTGTAGTCACACACAACTTCTGCCGGACCCTTTCATGACATATCTGTCAAGATTTTAAATTCTAAATATCAAACATGTTTGAAATAAATCGGGGCGTCCCCGACGATCGCTGGGCAGATCAGGGACGTTAAGATTGGATCTTTGTACCGCTCACACTACGAGATAATCTGAGCAGATAATCGGGTCCGAGCAGCCTCGAGTCGGGAGAGACCCTGAGACTGACGGGAAGAACGGGCGCTCAAATCGTCCCGATTATCCTGCAGAGTGAGCCAGGCTTAAGACCCTGAAGTTTTCAGTTGTTTGTGTTTCTGTCCTCAAATTCAAAACTTGTTCTGTCACAAGATGAACAAATATTCCTGGTTCAGTTTATGTTACATGTTGAGTTTAACTTTATATTCATACTCAAGATTTCAAATGGTTGGTTGTAGTCGGAGAAGAGTCATATTTTTATCTGTTTATTTAAACTACAAAGAAGAAGGCGACCTCTGTGAGTCATGTCAGTAATCCCTGCTCTCCGTCTGTCAGGATATCAACGGAGCGTGGCACACTCTGGAGGGAGCAGAGAAAGGTTACGAGGAGTGGATCCTCAGCGAGATCAGACGTCTGGAGAGACTCGAGCACTTGGCTGAGAAGTTCCACCAGAAGGCCGCCATCCATGAGTCCTGGACGGATGGTAGGACACACATTTAGTCTCACACTCAACACCTGATGAACAACCTATTGAATGTTTGAATGAAGTGTTTAATCATGTTTAATCTTATCTAAAAGTGGAGTTAATCAAATTTAAAATGGCAGAACATGGCTCGAGTGTTTTTTTTTTTTTTAATCCTTAAATCTTCCTCCTGACGACGGAGGAAATATTTAAATAAAGCAGATTTTTTTTTTTTTTTAAATGTCTTGAAACATCCTTTACAATATCAGTGAGGCCGCCGGGGTTAATGACTGTGTTTTGTTTGCATGCAGGTAAAGAGGCCATGTTGACCCAGAAAGACTACGAGACTAGCACCCTGTCAGAAGTGAAGGCGTTGCTACGGAAACACGAGGCCTTCGAGAGCGACCTGGCAGCTCATCAGGACAGAGTGGAGCAGATCGCCGCCATCGCACAGGAGCTCAAGTAAATAAAAAGCAACAAAAACATGAAAACACAAAGAGATGTAAATATGTAGGAAACCGTTTAATGTGTGTGTGTGTGTGTGTGTGTGTGTGTTTCAGCGAGCTGGACTACTACGACTCTGCCAGCGTCAACGCTCGCTGTCAGAAGATCTGTGATCAGTGGGACTCGCTGGGAGCGCTCACCCAGAGCCGCAAAGAGTCACTGGAGGTACGACTCAGTCTGCTGTAGTGACATGATCACAGGAAACTGATGCATCGCTCATGGAGGCGGCCATGTTGCTTTTTCATATTCCACTGATTGATCGATGGCTTTAAAACAAAGGGGTGTACTTGTTTCCCACTAGGTCTCCTTTCTTACAATTCTGGCCAGATACCACTCATCTCATCAAACATTTAGGGGTCTAGATCCACTCCAAATTCAGACTTTAATGTGCACACTAAGTTTGTTTGTGTGTTTTATACCTGCATTGAGATAAAGATAAACTTTATTGATCCCACAATATCTCAAGAAACAGGAATATAAAAAATCAAACATATGTACATCAGTTAAATAAAGGGAGAAAAAATACAATTATAGAATAATACTAGGTATGTACACTTCCACTTGTTGAAAGAGTTATTATTACAATCATTTATTATCATTTATCAATTATTATTTACGATCTTACAATGATTACTCCTGTCGGATCAGAGCAGATCTTTATCAACATTTCCCACAAGTGTTTGTGTCAAAATAGAACATGAACTAGTTAGAAAATGTCTTAATATTCAGATATTAGGAAGTCACAGTAATTAACAGCTGTGAATCTTAAGTATTAACAAACACACTTTAAGTCACTAAAGTTTATTCTGATAAACTCTCTCCCGTGTGTTTTCCCTCCAACAGAGGACAGAGAAGCAGCTGGAGTCGATAGACGAGCTTTACCTGGAGTACGCCAAGAGGGCAGCACCCTTCAACAACTGGATGGAGGGAGCCATGGAGGACCTGCAGGACATGTTCATCGTCCACAACATCGAGGAGATCCAGGTGACTGCAACTCAAATATGTAGCCTGTGTGGGAGTGTCATCAGGATACTGAAGGAATAATATATGAAGCATTATAACAATAAGAAGTCTGTCTAAAAATATGCTGAAGAATATTTAATAAAACTGGGACTTCTTCTATAACAAATATATTTTTTTAATGTTAAAAAGAAGACAAATAAAAGGTGATATTTGATTTATCTGATATCAGACTGAATGTTTCAAATAGTGACTTTTTTTTTCCTCCATCAGGGTCTGATCACGGCCCATGAGCAGTTCAAGTCCACCCTCCCGGAGGCCAACAAGGAGCGGGAGGCCATCCAGGCCATCCAGTCCGAGGTGCAGAAGATCGCCCAGAGCAACGGCATCAAGCTGGGCAGCGCCAACCCTTACACCACCATCACACCCGAGAGCATCGACAACAAATGGGCAAAGGTGCGCTGCAACCAATCTTTTTTATTTCCTTGACTTGTATTAGCTCCAAGACCTTGTGGCAGGGCTATTTGTTTTTACTCATGGTGTGTTGGTACAGGACCCCTTTCCAAACATTTAATTGATATATTATGTAAATGTATAAATGGTTAAAAATCTGCCTCATTGAAAAGACTCCTCCAGCTGCTGCTTTGTGTTGCAGCTTTGAAGATGCAGCTTTACACCAACATGTGCTTTTCTGTTTTCTTCAGTTGTGATTCTTTCTGTAACGTCTTCATGTGTGTTGCAGGCGATGGACATGGTGCCGCAGCGTGACAAAGCTCTGCAGGAGGAGCTCAACAAGCAGAACAACAACGACAGCCTGCGGGCCAAGTTTGCCACTCAGGCCAACACGGTCGGCGCCTACATCCAGGCCAAGATGGAGGTAAGGGATTCACCCACGCAGGCAGTCGGTCCATGTCTGCATCTGCTGTGTCGGCGCGGTTCATCTCTGCACAGCTGTGTGCAGTTTGTCACAGTTTCAGGCCAACATTGTGAGCCAGTGAGCTCACTGAGCAAACAGTCGGCAGTAGGAAAGAACATGAGTGTGATTCAGTGCTGAGTTCTTACAGTAGCACTGGAACGCTTGTAGCAAACATGAATTAATCATAGTTCTATCAAAATGATTTGTTGTCAACTGAAGTAGAAAACGTGCCTGTCCTCTCTAAAGTCTTATTAGAGTCTTTTAAATCATGCAGCTCAAGAACAAGTTGAAAGATGGTCTTAAAGTCTCGTCCAGTGTGTGTAAACATTTCTCAGTTCTGCATGTGATGATGGACGTCCGTCTGAAATGTGTAAACTCCATAACTGTGGGATCCTCACGATAGTAAACATGGTGTGTTTTTGCCTGGTCAGGAAATCGGCAGGATATCTATCGAGATGAACGGCACTCTGGAGGACCAGCTGACCAGCCTGAAGGATTACCAGAAGAGCATCATGTCCTACATGCCCGAGATCAACACGCTGGAGGGATACCACCAGCTCATCCAGGAGGCCCTCATCTTCGACAACCAGTACACCTCCTACACGATGGAGGTAACACACACACACACTCACATGCACACACGCACACACGCACTCATACGTATGCACCTGAAAGTGTCATGAAGTAATCTACTCAATCATCAACTGTCTTTTTTAATCACTAGTTACCTCCATAGAAACCGCTTTTTTTGTTAAATGACCTCTGCAGTTAGCCTCATGAGGGGTGCAGCTTTTTTAATTAAAAAAAATATATATTTTTATTTTTATTGAACCTTTATTTAACCTTTTTTTTTTTTCATTTTTTCATTTATTTATTTTTATTTAACCTTTATTTCTTTTTTCATTTTTTTATTTATTTATTTTTATTTAACCTTTATTTAACCTTTATTTCTTTTTTCATTTTTTTATTTATTTATTTTTATTTAACCTTTATTTAACCTTTTTTTTTCATTTTTTCATTTATTTCTTTTTATTTAACCTTTATTTAACCTTTATTTCTTTTTTCCTTTTTTTATTTATTTCTTTTTATTTAACCTTTATTTAACCTTTTTTTTTTCATTTTTTCATTTATTTATTTTTAATTAACCTTTATTTAACCTTTTTTTTTTCATTTTTTCATTTATTTATTTTTATGACGCCTCGTGTGAGAGTAAAAAACAGATGAGTAGAAACTGACTGGTTTGGGAGAGAGGAGAAAAGGAGCTGCAGATTCTACGGGTTTTAGCAAACCAGCTGTTTAGTTTTAGTTTGAGAGGACTTTGTGTTGGACGGGAGCTAACAATTAAAAACAAACCAGGAAGGAAGAAAACCTCATTACATAACATCCACATGGAAAGTTGTCGTTAAGTTGTTTTTTCTTAAATCTCTGGAAGACACCGTGTGACTGGTTTTCTCCGCTCCGCCTCCCTCGCTCCCTTTTTTTGTCCTCTCTCTCCCTGCAGCACCTCCGCGTGGGTTGGGAGCAGCTGCTCACAACCATCGCCAGAACCATCAACGAGGTGGAGAACCAGATCCTGACGCGTGACGCCAAGGGCATCAGCCAGGAGCAGCTCTTCGAGTACCGCGCCTCCTTCAACCACTTTGACAAGGTCAGGGGACGAGCTCCACGCTCCGGCCTCATACACGTCATTGTTCTCTGTCATTTTTACCTGGAAAAAGTTTCTCTCAGGAGTGTCAGCACGTGGGTTGGGAGCTGTGTTTATTTAACTTAGTCACACCAGAGGAGCTTCTATGTTTGTACAAAAGTTCAGTGGAGAATCTCTTTATTTTTAAATGACTTAGGAAGTCACTTTTACATCCTAGCCTTGTTGTTTTATCTGTAAACAAACCATGTTTACTCACCTCTACAGAGCAGTAAAAAGTGTCTATAATTACACATTGATGGATACTACTTAATACCAGTTAAACACATAAATACATGACATAATAAACCAGTTAAACACATAAATACATGACATAAATAAACCAGTTAAACATACATTCAACTTTTGAGCTCTCAACCCAAATTTGTCAATTCATCAGATCTTTGAAAGTAGATATTTGATAGTTAATAGTTTCCGACGGTCGTCTGAAATGTTTTGTTTTGATGTTGGACTTGAGTTGTTTCCATGACGATGTTTAAAACGACTGAATGTTTAGACGTTAAACGGGGGTGAGAGAGGAGCCAGACGTGTGAGTATTCATCCTGATGTTTAACGCTGGTGAGCACATGGGTGGAGCTCACGCCGTGGCTTCAGGATTTAACAGAATAGAGAACTACAGAACTACAAAACAGGCATCTCATGAAAGAGCCGGGTAAAGAAGAAGTTAGTTTATTGTCAAATGAAAGACGATTAATACTGTGAATCATGTTTTGTTTTAAACCCGTCTTGAGCTGGTTCCTGGTCATGCGGACTCAGTCAGAATGATGGATTTAATCCTCGTGTCCATTGCAGTCAGGAAATGAAGTTTAGATTGATGACGTTGTTTTCTGCCGCTCTGTCAGGACACGGTGCTTAAGTTGGTGTAAGAAGCTCAAACGTCTGTGTGTTGTCATGGTGATTCGTTTGTTGTTGAGCCGGACCCCACCATCGTCCACCATCCTCTGTGTGTGTGTGCTTGTGCTTGTGCTTGTGCGTGCGTGCGTGCGTGCGTGCGTGCGTGCGTGCGTGTGTGCGCTCACTCAGTCTTTTTGTCACATCAGTGTGTCTGCTGGGAACACAACACATCGCTTTATTTACAATAAGCTACAGTGAAATGAATGAAAAAACAAAGCAAAGGTGTTTAAAGTTTATGAATGATATGGTTCTACTTTATCACGTCACCATGTGTGCAGTTCCATTAACTTCCATAGATGTCATTTATATCAATCTTAAACTTCCACATGACCCTTTAAACAGTTGACCTGCTGACTCATATTTTCAGTGAAATGAAGATGAAGCTTTTTGAAAAAGTTACCTCTTGATCTTTTAGTCTGAATGTTTCATGGTGAGATGTGTTGTTCCCACACAGACTCGTGCATGTGCAGAAAAAGTGACACATCTTTGTCAATGTGCACGTTCCTCACGGGTCCATCGTGTTCCCCTGTTGTGTTGCGTGTGTTGACATGTGTCTAAACATCCATGAATGTCTGTCTGTCCACCATGTCGTCACCTCCACCCCTGCATGCCGTGGATCATCCCTGTGTTTGTGATTGGTTCATCCTCATGACGTGGCGCTCTGTCATTGGGTGTTTGGCCGATCTCAGGACCACGGCGGGACCCTGCAGGCCGAGGAGTTCAAAGCCTGTTTGATCAGTCTGGGCTACGATGTGGAGAACGACAAGCAGGTAGGAGCTCGGCGTCAGGGCGGAGGGAAAGGTGGAGTTTGTCAGGGCGTCAGAGCGGGAGAGCCGAGGGAAATCACTGCCGGTCACATTCTGCTCATCAAAAGTGTTCACCTGAGTACGCTCAGAGCTAAAAAATATTATTATTACTGATGTAAAACTCTACGTTTGTCCAATGATTCAACACCTCCACTTAAAATAATCCTTGTAATAACCCTCAGTTATATTCTGATTCTTATTTCAAGTCCTAAATCATAACTTGTTGTGTATCTCTGACTTCATCTTTTTTCTAATCTGTTTAAAGATGATGATGTGAGGAACATTATATTTAATATTTCAGTCATTATATTTAAGAAAACATACAAATGAACTTTCTTATACATTTAAAAAATAGACTAAAAGTTAACATATTGAAACAAAAGTTGTATTTATTTTTGACAAGGGTTCCTTGTTTCATGATCAGCAAACAAATGACTGGAATGATATTTAATTTTTCATAAATAACAAGAAATAAAACTCATCAAAAATGTGACCTATGTGTTTGAAAAAGCAGTTTTCACTCTGTAGCAAAGCATCTCATCAACTGTTCCTGTTGTTTTTAAGATCAGGAGATTCTTAGGTCATAATATTTTAACCATGACAAACCTTTAAATAAATAAATAAATAAATAAATAAATAAATAAAAGATGGCCGTTCAGTTCTAAGAAGTGCTCAGTGATCGTTCAGCTCTCCGGCTCCGAGGCTCCTGATGATTCTCCGTTCAGGGTCAGACAGGTTTCGGTGCATCATCAGCATGGAGGGCAGAGATGTCGTGTCCCTGTTTGTCCACCGGGGGTCTCTGTTGCTTTGTGCTGCTTTTAGCTTGACCACCAGGCTCCCCTCTCACTCTCTGAAACAGGCCCCGCCCCCTCGCCTGTCCGTCTTGTCTTTCTGTCAGGGTTACTCTCAGACTGTCGCTGTTAACTGTTGGTGCTTTTTTTTTTCACTTCCCTGAACATCACTCTCTCTCTCTCTCTCTCTCTCTCTCTCTTCATCATGTTTATATCTGTACGTCTCACTCCTCTTATCTCCGCCCCCTTCATCCTCTCATGAACCCTCTCTGACTCCACCCTTCACTTCACCTCCTCACCCCTCTCCTCCTCCTCCTCGGGTCTTTGCTGTGGCGGCCCACAGAAGCGATCAGGACAGATGGTCTCAGATGATTTCCGGGCTCTCCTCATTGCTACAGGAAACAGCCTGGTACTGCTGCTGCTGGCATGACGCTGTCACAGGGTGTCTGCACGTCCAAGGAGAACATACTGATTCAAATGAGTCTGCGTAACGTTAAACCTAAACTGATCTGCCCGGGCGGAGTTTAAGAGACTGACCCGTTTATGATCAGGCTGGGAATCAAACCAAAATGTTTCCCAGTCTTTGATCACATTAGTTCATTCTCTTCACATTTTGACAATTAATAAACCCCGCCCACTCCTCCTGTTTATCTTTTTAAATAAACCCCAGTTTACTCTTTCTTTGGGTTTTAATGTCCTAAAGTCTGACTTGGGACCTGCAGACACCCTGACCTCTATTTGTTCCTCGTGCTGCTCGTCTTTGTCACATCTGTGTTTCTTTTCTTCTTGCTGCTCTTCTGCTTCACTGACTTAAAGAAAAAGCAGTTTTTTTCACATGAGCCCTCCAAACTACATGACTGTTTGTCCTCTGTGCTGTAATCCGTTTCTTTGACTTTAGTTAGTGGTCATGTTTTGTATTTGTTTTGCATGTGCCCCAGTTTGAAATGTAAAAACATTGGGACCACTATCACAACTTTAACCTCCGTTCACTGACTCATGGAGGTCCTGATGTTTTACACTGAAAACACTTTGTATGTCATGCTCTGTCTGTGCCTGTGTGTGTGTGTGTGTGTGTGTGTGTGTGTGTGTGTCTCTCCCGGGTTAACCTGTTGTTTCTTGGTTGTCAGGGCGACTCCGAGTTTGCTCGCATCATGGGTATAGTGGATCCCAACGGCAGCGGCGCCGTCACCTTCCAGGCCTTTATTGACTTCATGTCGAGGGAAACGACCGACACGGACACCGCGGACCAGGTCATCGCCTCCTTCAAGATCCTGGCTGCTGATAAGGTCAGTGTGTGTTTGAATGTGTATACACACAGTGATACTGTATTCATGTCAGGATGAAACGTTTGTTTTCAGTCGGTCGCTGTGGGTTTGAATCCTTCCCACTCTCTTATCCCGGTAATTCCTGTTCTAGTCTCCTGTCAAATAAAGAATTTTCATTCTCTTTTTATGGATTAATTAATTACTTAGATTTAAGTTGGGAGCTGTGTCATTGTAAACAAATCAATCTGGATGCAAATGCATAGAAGTCCAAGTACTTTTTAAATCTAGTTTCATCATTCTCATTTATTGTTTAATGTTTTAAGTTGAAGTTGAATGTGTAGCAGCCTCCTCCTTACCAGGACTAATGAAACCAGCGGGTGACTGAGGGGCTGTAACACAAAGTTTTAACCTCAAACTGTTTAATTCAGGAGCTTTTTTCACACTCTTCCGGTCTTTCAAGCGAAGAATCAGAATCTGGTTTTATTGCCAAGTACATTTACACATACAAGGAATTTGACTTGGTGTATTGGTGCTAAGTAGTAAGTAAGTGTCAGTAGCTTATTAAAAACTTGAGAAAGTAACCTCATTTAGGCGATTAACGGGAGAATGTAACACAAAGTCAAATCGGCATTGGTTGTCAAATGCAAAATTCAGAGTCGGTTTTAGCCCCTGTGTCCAAATAGAATTTAGAATAAAACTTTAAACCCCAATGACGTCCTTTTGGTCCTGATTGAAAAGAAGAGTATCTTCAAACGGCAGCGTTTTGTGTGTTTTAATGTTTTAATGCTTCAGGGTAAATTGGGGATGTTTTTCTCCTCAGCTGTTTGCTGGTGAGCCAGGATAAAAAAAGTGGTTCTTCACTGATTGTACTTTTATCTTTGTGTTTTTCAGACCTTCATCACCGCCGACGAGCTGAGGAGGGAGCTTCCCCCCGACCAGGCGGAGTACTGCATCGCCCGCATGGCGCCCTACACCGGGCCCGACGCTGTCCCCGGAGCCCTCGACTACATGTCCTTCTCCACCGCCCTGTACGGAGAGAGTGACCTGTAAAGGAGGAAGAGGAGGGCTGGACAGATGGGGGGGGGGGGTGGGGGGGGGGGGGTCTTTCTGTTCGCAGAGGAGACGCCAGGAATGGAAGGTTTTTGGAAGGATTTGAGTGGTTGTGAGGTGCCCCTGCGTGTGCCGGTTTAGAAATCATCAGAAAAAGGATTCAGAGATGTTGATTGGACTGTAGTTTTGGTTTTTGGCTCTGCGGGATGTTTTTCAGCTCCGTTACGTCGTTTTCAGGTCGAGAGGGATCAAGGTCAATTTGTCATAAAGTTTCTATAAACGCCGTCTCCGGGGGGGAGGGGCAGCTGTGGGGACGAGGGGGACAGACGTCTACGGTGCGGGTCCTTAGCTTCACCCTGTCTGCCTTCATGGTGGTCAAACAGGGGGGAGGACTGGGGGGAGGGGGGAGGGGCACAAGCTAATCTGATACTTATGCTAATTTTTGTTTATTTTATTATAATTTTTTCTTCTTGCCAGGTGGGGTCAGGGCGTGCGGGGGCGGGGCAGTGTGGGGTTTGACGTGGCGACTGGCGAGGTTTGTGTATTAGATCCTAGAGAGATATATGCTGCGGGGACGGGGGGGGGGCGGGGGGGGGAGTTGACCAACCAGAGATAAAAATGACATATTTACCCATAATTCCCCATGTTGCTGGATAAGGTGACCTGTCTAACCTCAAGCTCTTTTTCCTCCTCCTGTCTTTTTGTTTATGACTTTTTTCGTTTGTTTTTGTTTGTTTTCCGGGGCAGGCGGGTGTGGTGTGGCGGGGGCGGGGCGGGGTCAGTGCAGGTGGGGGTGGGGGGGTGGGGGGGGGGGCTCAGCGCTGTACATACTTCTTTTGTTTTTTCAGTGCGAAGAATGACACGAACACGGTCCAAATTGTTGGGAAATAATCAACGCAGGCTTTCCAGTAGAGCAAAGTAGAGACATTTATTAGATAATAAAATGAGAAAATAAAACAAAAATGTAAAGCCAATGACGGTGACACACACACAGCAGTTTCTACAGTGGATAGGTTTGAGCTTCCAGACATTTTTTTTTCCATTTCCAAATTATGAAAATGCACGAAAGTTGATGCTAGTGTATCTTCTCCATGATGGGTATAATTATCCACCCATATCCTTTCCTCCTGGGTTTGGCATCAGGTGCTTATTCAAACACAGAACTTATACATTAATATGGTAGTTGAGATTTAACAAAGTTAGTCCAGTTTTATATTCCAGAAAACACACACACATGATAGAAGTATATTAATGTCACAGATGTATTTGATTGGCTGAATGAAGCGTCTCGCACTTCCTGGATTGAAAGGGGTTTGCATAGTGCCGCACTTTGGAGAGCTCCCCGTGTGATGGAATAAAACGTGCCTGTTGGGTTTCTGCAGCCCTGTCCCTCCTTCTCTGTCTCTTGACTTTCTCCCTACCTCACACTCCCACTCTCTCCCTCCCTTCCCTTCCTCCCCCCCCCTTCTCTCCCCTCTGCCTCCCTCATTTATCTCTGAAGAAAAGGGAAAGAAAATTTACTGAGGAAAAGAGGGAGGGGAACGATCGTGGGAGGGGGGTCTGTATGTAAACATTCCATTATGTGCAAATAAAAAATATCACAAAAAAAGGAAAATTGTTGTGTAAAAAAAAAAAAAAACTATGCAATCATAACGTGTTCAATATCTGAGTTGTGGGGTAAAAGCTGCGGGCATCAAATGTGAGGACGTCTCCTGGTAAATTAAACAGAGGATATCAGATTTCTCCGGAGTGTGTGTGTGTGTGTGTGTTGGCTGTTAAGAGGGTGAGGAGGGGGAGACGGAGGGAGGGAGGCACAGACAGGGAAGGAACTGAGAAGAAAAGACTCGGACCAAAAGCTTGTTTCTTTTTTTTCTTTCTCTTTTTTTTCCCCTGCGAGGTTGGAGAGAAATGAACTCTGGAATTGTGATTTTTCTTTTTTTTGTACTCTTTAATATCAAACCTTATCTGCTGTACTGGAAACTGCAAACGCCTTCTGTCTCTAATGATAAGTGAGTTTCACAAAGCACACATAAAAAGTTTCCTTACAAAATACCTCTGCTTGTCTCCATGTCTTTCTTTCTTAAACATCTGGTGTTAGAAATATCAGTTTAACATATTTTATTACATATATTTAATAATTATTTTTGGGGCTTTTATGCCTTTATCGGAAAGACAGAACAGTTAGAGTTGGAAATCATTGAGAGAGAGAGAGAGTGTGGGAAATGACGTGGAGGAAAAAGCCACAGGTTGAATTTGAACTCGGGGTCGCCCGCTTTGAGGATGTCATCCTCTGTACACGGGGCGTGAGAACTAACCACTAGTCCACTGGTGTCCCTATTAAATATATTTAAATAAACTGTAGTAGATTCCTGTTAACTGGCTGATTTAGATTACACAATTTTAAGGAGGTAAGAGGAAATATAACTACTCCAAAGAAACACCAAGAGCAGAGGATTCCAGTAGAACTTTAATATTTATTTGTAATGTAATAAAGTCTAAACTTTATTTAATATTTATTATATTTATAATTTGTATTAATATTTTTGTATTTATTATTTATTATGTTATTTATATTTATGTATTTATTATTATTCTTTTATTTAGATTTATTTATTATTTATTAACAAATTGGAAACATTTCAGGCCATGTTTATTCTACTTAAATAACTTTCCAAAGTGTTATGGATATACTGAACTATTAAAGCACGAGGACCGGAAATGGGCAGTACCGTTTGGAAACCAGAGGGTCTCGTGCCTCTCAGTCAGACCTTTGCGCGCGCTGCTGGTCTCATTTGGAGCAGCAGCTCGAGACCACTGAACCTCAAACATGAGCAGAGCAAAGAAAACCCTCCAACCGACGCAAAGGTCGTGACCTCACTCCGTCTTATACTGTTCTTCCTCCTCCTCTTCCTCCTCCTCATCATCATCATCATCAACCGCAGACTGGCTCCGCGCGCGCTGCTCATCTGGACAGCTGTGGCAGGAATGATGCTCGCGCTCACCTTCACCTGCCGCGCGCTGCTGCTCTTCCTGGTCTCGGAGTCTGTTGAGACGGTTCAGACCGACAGGACAGCGGTAAGACCTGAACCCGAACTGTTTAAAGAGTTAATGAACTAGTGAGACTGAACCTTAACTCGAGGCTTTCTGTTTAATGAATGTTGTTAAAGCTGGAGGACTCGGGATGTTTGAGGGCCAGGGGCGGAAATATTAGAAATGGCACGTGCTGTATGCCCACAGAAAGTCGTCATACAGACATGTAGTGAAAAAGTTTAGTCACTTCACCTTAAGTTAATTTCTCACTTCACACCGTGGAGGACGCTACATTCAAGAGGGCACTTTAGCAGGGGGTTTCCCCAACATTAGCCCCGCCCCCCTTCCACCAGTGTTGTAAAGTACAGTATGCTATTAAAGGTGGCACAATTTAGCTTTATATTTAGGTGTTACTGATTATAATGTTTCACCTCATATTCATTTAACAATTTATATAGAATAGAATAGAATTACTTTATTGATCCCAAACTGGGAAGTTGTGTCGTTACAGCAGCAGGTTATCAAACACTGTTAGCAAATCTAAACATAATATAATATTAACTACAAAGTAAATAAGCACTAAAAATATAAAAACTAAGAATGGGAATATATACAACCAGGATTTAACTAAGCATTACTAGTCTTAAATATGAAAGATTAAATGTAAATGTGCAAAAACAGAGTTGTAAATGGACAGTATTGACATAGGGAGTTGTCCAGAGCTCCAATCAGTGATACAACGCTTTTGCTTGGCGATGAAAAGAAACTGTAAGAATTCAGTTTCATGTTGACAACTTAAATCGAGGCAAAAACCATGAGTAAATTAAGCGCACAGTACTGGACGTAAATTAGGCCACCAGGGGACTCTCAAAATCAAAACAGGAACAAAGATGACGGCGAGGCTGGCGGGGAATCATGGGCGTTAAACATTCTAATAAAATTCAACATATTATACATTGAAGCTGAGTGGTGTAAAATAGTTTTGAAACTGGGATATTGTGTTTATTGAATAGAGAGATACTTTATTTATCCCCGTTGTAAAAATCCAGGCGTATAATTCATCCATAGAAGTTAAAACTTTAAACAAACAGGAACAGAAAAAGACTGTGCTTAACAGAGACGCAATAAAAGATGCTTCATGAATCAGCAAGTCTTCTAGTCTTCTAGTTTTTATAAGGTGAGAGAGTGTAGGAGAAAGGTCGGCCGTGATGTTGACCCACAGCTCATGAGCGGCTGCTCCTCCGACCTGCCGTGATGCTGTAGAGAGGATAATGTTGTCCAGTAGAGCCTGTCCTTTCCTTCACACACGTCTCTCCACCTCAATCCTCAACAAGTCCAAACTCCTGCCTAAAACTGAGCCAGCCTTTTTTCCCAGCTTGTAAAGCATGTTGCCCCCCCCTCCCCCCCCCCCCCCAACAGGCCATAAAAAGGACACTCCCTTCCCCTGACTGGTAGAACATATTTAACATTTCACTGCACGATCTGAGCATCCTCAGGAAAAAGAGTCTCTGCCTCTTAAATACTTGTAGGTTTGCAGCCCCTGAATGTCGTCCCCTCAGATGTTTACTAGCTAAAGGGGGGGGGGGGGGGGGCTTCTGTGAAAGTCCAGAACCATCTCCTTCAGCAGAAGTCCATTCTCACGGCTCCACTCTCTGAAGGTCATTGTCCGGGTCCCTGTTAACACCTTCCTGCTCATTCCTACTGCACACCACCATTACCATCGGGCAGGAAGGAGAACGACCTTCAGAGACCGGAGCAGAAGAAGAGACTCCTTCCTGTAAACATCATTGACCTGTGTTTGTTTATTGGATGAATGCAGCGTCCATATGAAAATCCCACGTTCAAAACCTTTCAAATATTTTTAATTCAGAATAAAAAACATTTAGGTTTACATCTTTAATTACACATTTAAAGGCTTTACATTGTTGTGTTAGCATGCTAATGCTCGCGATCTTTATTATGCTGGTATCTTCACACTGCATGTAAATTTACCTGAAATGAGCGTGATCTAGAAACACAGTTAAGCAGTGAGTACAGTATGTTATTCTTCTTTTCTCTAGTCCCTCAATTAAACAACTTTTATACACGAGGGGAGGAGTCAGCCGGCCGTCCTGGCGATGTAAACAAAGTGAAGATAGGACTCTGAAAACTCTGAAAACATCACAGACAGTGGGACTCGGGTGTTACACCCATTGTAGACAGTCATGACTCACAGAGTTATTTTCAGAGGATATACTTGATTTCTACATTTAAGTGTGAAAAATCACAGATAAAGACTTTAAGCCACACTATAAAGAAGAAGATAACATCTGAACAGGACTGCTTACAGACCAGCACTCGGTCAAACTCCTGAAATAAGTAAAAACCAGAGTCAGCTCCTTCACACACAGATCCGTCTGCAGCTGCACAAACTTTACAGGAGAAGCAGGACAAAGAGTTTAATGTCAGCACCGGTCTACACCTTTAAGTGTTACCCAGTCTGGATAACAAAAACACTCCCTCACCTTGTAAGTGGTAAAGTGTGTGTGTGTGTGTTTTAAAAATCTGTATAATTGGCCTCCTATTCAGAGACCAAGGCCACTAAAAGCTCCACCACAGCAGCAGCTCCAGATATCGAGGTTTCAACGCTTTTGGCTTCTTGAACTAAACAGACTTCACACCGCTCAACACACAACCTGGAACTGCTCCGTATTCTTTTGGATATTCTGGCAGCACCAAGGACAATATTGATTTATAAGACATTAATGTTCATGTTTGACCAAGAAGTTGTCTGTGGTGTGTGTGCGTGTGTGTGTGTGTGTGTGTGTGTGTGTGTGAGAGAGCTCCCAGGAGGACGGCAGGCTAACACCAGCCAGCGACACAGAACCATAAACCCACACGCACACGGCTGCCGGGCAAATATTTAACCTGCTCCTCGGGGGAAACAGACAGGTGTGTGTGAGAGAGAGAAAGTGAGAACTCTTATGAAAAAGAGCCACAGTAATCCTGCTTACATTTATTTTAAAGCTAGGACCATACACTTTACAGGAATCACAGCTTCACTCTGACTTTATTGTCCCTCCCAACAGTGACAGAAATTCTCCTTCTAAACTCAACTTACATTAAAAACACAAAGTGCATTACAGATATTACACGAGGATTGTTAAAAACAACAGTAACAGACGAGAAAAACTCTAAAACACACAACTTGACACACACACTCTGAGCCGTGTCAGGAGTCGCTCTGGCAGAGTAGCGCCCCCATGAGCCATGATAAGTTATGAAGTCGGTGCTTGTGCTTCTGTGTCGATACTAAGGACCACACGAGGGTATCAGCGTACTGATTTGGCTGTTGTCTCTGATAAACTCCATCTGTTGTTTGTTTGTAAATGCATGGTCTGGGTGGACTGTGGAACAGAATTGCCCTCTGGCTCTGGCATAAATAAAAAAAATAAGTCTTAAGGCCACAGAATTAGAAGTCCTGCATTTATAAAGTGTTCCCTATTTGTTTTAAAAAATGGTGTCATTTCAAAACGCTTAGTAAAAAAAAAAAAAAAGTATACAAAATGTTGACAATCTAATCCCAAAGTAAACAACACTAGCTACATGCAGCGTAGTCCTCATAGCTAGTTACCCTTAGTTTGCATGTTTACCGGCTTGGGGAGGGGGCAACGTTAAACCATTTAGTCGGCTAGTCCTGCACATCCCTACTAAAAACTCAACAAAGTGCCTTCAAAGAAACGTTTGACTTAAAGGCTTCATCATCCAGATTTATATAGATTTATATATATGTTTCTAAGTGTCAGATGTGTTCATACTGTTCTTTGATTAACTGCACTCGGGCTTTCAGTCAATCTGTAAACAGTGTTTGCTTTAGAAATGGTCACCAGTTAATGTCCCCTGCAGGTTGTTTGTCCTTAAAACTAACTGGTGTGCTTCTTCAGACACACAGACACACTCTGTTTACCTGCAGGAATATGTTTCTGACTGTGTTTGTGTGTCTGTCATCAATCATAAGGTACAGTATGTCATCAGGGCTGAATGGTGTGTGAGGGACGATGTTTGTTCCTCTGAATCCCCTGACACATTAAACATGTCATCGTCATCCCTGCTCATGTGTGCATGTGTTAATGGTTGGTTGAACTTAAACTGTAGGGATTAATGGAGGTTAGAGAAGACGCTGTGTTCACAAGTGGTCGATTCACTCCCCCGTCAGCTCCTGGACCACAGCACAGTTAGTTCAGACTTCCCCCCCGGGTGTCGACGCTCCTTTCAGCAGCATCAGCGGCACCAAACGGCGAGTTTCACAAAGCTCTGGAGATGAGTTTGAATGTTTTTCTAAAGCAAACGCTCGGCGGGATCTGGAACGTGTGAGGCATGAGGAGACAGTGGTGACTTGTTCTCACTTTCTCTCCTGCTCGCTCACTTCCTGTCTCCTCTCTCTCTCTTTTTCACACACACACACACCTTCACACACACACACCTTCACACACTGGTGGCTTAAGTTTAACAGGCCTGAAAAGCCCCGGCAGTAATTGTTTTAACACTGAGGATATTGTAGTCGCCTCACCTCTTACAGACGGGAGATCCAGTCTGTCTAACACTTTGCACATGGTCCCAAAACCCTTTCACCCGTCCTGCTTTATACCATGTAGCCTTTATTTATTCTGACTGATCATTTCTTCAGACAACACTTCTCTCTACTTTCCCTTTGCACACCTTCCTGCACTTCCTAGTAGGACTGATAAACTCGGCATGTGTACAGTTTTGTAGTCAAGACCACACTAACCGAGACCAGGACATACCAGAGAACAGAGTGCTCTGAGACTGAGACAAGACCAAGACATTTAGGGATAGAGACCGAGACAAGACCAAGACTTTTAGGGGTCCAAGACCATAAATATCTATCTCTGAAAAATCCTCATCTTGTGTTTAGGGGCGTGTCTCTCACTTAAACCGTTACAGAAGGAAGGTCGGGGGGTAAACAGGATAAAAAATCAATTTGTGACTGAGTTGAAGTTATTCATTCTTTTTTAGAAAGGATTGTTTTCCTTCTCATCACACTAATCAAAAACATGTTTTTTTTTAATAAAGATGGGATCGATCTGATCCAGTATCGGTATCTAGTTCTATATTTATGTCATTTATTGATTGGATATCGGACTGACGGCGCCGATAAGTCACTAATCAAGGACAAGCGTTGGGCCCTTTAATCATTCTCAGTTCGCACAGACTCTCTTTGAAGACGTTCAGACTCAACTGTAAGAAGTGTCCACACATCGTCTCCATGACGACGTTCAGATGAGATGGAGCCGCTCAGCAAACATTATCGTAATCAGTATCGTTAAATATGTATTGTGATCGGATCGGAACTAGAAAAAAGTTTACAATCCGTCAGCTTCTGCATGTTTTCCCACACCAGTTAAACTATTCTTTATAATGCACTGTACTAGTTTGCTTCCCAAACATTTTTTCTCACTTTTTGACATGTTTGCTTTTTTTTTTACTTTCAGTGAGAAAAGTCAGAAGTGCTAAAAAATCATCAGACACTTCAGAGAAAGTGAGAGACGAGAGCAGAAGAGTTATTTTTAAATTCTCACTGGAAATGATGTGTTCAACATTTTAAGTAAAAAAAAAAAGAAGTCCTGTTTGATGTTGGTTTAAAAGACATCCTCCATTGCTGCTCCTACCCTCTGGAACTCACTGCCAAAAACCATCAGAGACCCCCCCCCCTCCACCTTCAAGAAATCCCTAATAACTCCCCTCTTCATCACAGACAACCATGTACAAAAAGCTAGTTTCATAAAATGATGTTTAATAATTGGTCTGATTGAGTCTTCAGTCCAAACACGAGTTCATGTGATTTATTCAGGAACTGAGGCCTCGTTCATCTCTGAATAATGGCAACAGTGTCACACACACACTGTGGCATGTGTGTGTGTCTCGGTGTGTGTGTGTGTGACACAATATGCGTGACTCAGGTGTTTTCAGTGAGTCTGCTGCAGTGTGATGAATCTGGTGTGTGTGTGTGTTTTCTCCTGTGCTGTCAGGCGGCTGGACGAGCATGTGGGAGTAATTTAGATCACATTCTCCTGAACTCTGTTAGTTTGAGAACCTGGAGGTGATTTCTTTTTTTACACAGTTTCAGATGAAATGATACAGTGATGATATAAACCAGTTTATGTTGAGTAGTTCTACAGATACTCTTTATATGTGAATTCATTTTCTGAAATAAGCACTTTAACCTTTTTTTATTAGAGCCTGAGCGATAAATCAGCCGGCAGATAATATCGGCCCATATGAGCATCGGCTGATTTGATCTCCGATATGTGCCGATATAACTCGGTTTATTTATGTTTATTCATTATTTTTAGATAGTTTGTAACTTTTATGATGATGTTAATTTTTAAGTAGAAATGTGTGTTTCAGTTACACTTTGTTCAACATTCATTTGAAATCTTTTTCAAAAGTGTTTGATAATCTCATTGAAAGGGATCAGTGTAATAAATGTGTCTATAAATATCTCTGTGTAAGATGGAAGACAGATCTAAGACAGATATCAGGCTCTACTTTTCATGGTATAAAAACAGGAACTTTGTCAAACTCTTTAAAACAAATCTTTTGTCCCCCTGTCAGTTTTAAACCTCTGTGAGTATCTTTGTACTGAAGTTGTCAAAATTTGATGCACTTTTAAAACTTTTCCATTCCAGATGTTTATTTCTGCAAACTTAAGTTTATATATTATTATATTATATTATATTTGGAACCAGAAAGCTGCAATGAGAGAAAGAGAGAAATAGCACGCTCTAAAATTCAAAGGATTTTTTTACCAACGTATTTGTGAAATGTAGACAGGGTCCAGGAGTTTCCTGCATTAGAAATCAAAACAAGAAATGACCCAATATTAAGTGTCCAGGTATCAAAACAGGTATCTTTAAATTTTGAGAAGAATTCTGGCATCCTCACACTCTCCATCTGTACTCTCTCTTTAAATGCTGCCTGTGATGGAGCCCACTAAAATAATGTGTAGGGAGCAATAATCCTCTGATACCGATCCTCATCTATAGAAATGTTAGAACTTTATGTCAGAGCAATTTAGTAAGTCGTATAAAATGTCTGCTCCTATCATAAAAGAGGAAACAGCAGTGTGAGGTATAAAAATCTGTTGGCTCAGTACCTGTTGGGAGGGTTCAGGTTGTATTGGCCGCTCAGAAACTTTTATTCGCTTAGAAACAGTTATTCCAAAATATTGAGACTTTTTTTATGTTTGTGCAAAATCTCCATTTAGCTCCAAAAACAGTTTGTATTGAAATCCTTCAGTCAGACACAAACACAGCCATCCTCCTCCTCCTCCTCCTCCTCCTCCTCCTCCTCCTCCTCCTCCTACTCCTCCTCCTCCTCCTCTTACTCCTACTCCTCACCCTACTCCCTCCTATTCCTCTTCCTCTTCCCTCTCCTCCTCCTCCTCTCTTCCTCCTCCTCCTCTTCCTCCTCCTCCTCCTCCTCCTCCTTTTCCTCCTCCTCCTCACCCTACTCCCTCCTATTCCTCCTCCTCCTCCTCCTCCTCCTCACCCTACTCCCTCCTCCTCCTCCTCCTCCTCACCCTACTCCCTCCTCCTCCTCCTCCTCCTCCTCCTCCTCCTCTTACTCCTACTCCTCACCCTACTCCCTCCTATTTCTCTTCCTCCTCCCTCTCCTCCTCCTCCTTCTCTTCCTGCTCCTCCTCCTCCTCCTCCTCCTCTTCCTACTCTCCTCCTCTCCTCCTCCTCCTCCTCCTACTCCTCCTCCTCTTCCTCCTTTTCCTCCTCCTCCTCCTCCTCTTACTCCTACTCCTCACCCTACTCCCTCCTATTCCTCTTCCCTCTCCTCCTCCTCCTCCTCTTCCTCCTCCTCCTCTTCCTCCTCCTCCTCCTCCTCCTCCTTTTCCTCCTCCTCCTCCTCCTCACCCTACTCCCTCTATTCCTCCTCCTCCTCCTCCTCACCCTACTCCCTCCTCCTCCTCCTCCTCCTCACCCTACTCCTCCTCCTCCTCTTACTCCTACTCCTCACCCTACTCCCTCCTATTTCTCTTCCTCCTCCCTCTCCTCCTCCTCCTTCTCTTCCTGCTCCTCCTCCTCCTCCTCCTCCTCCTCTTCCTACTCCTCCTCCTCCTCCTCCTCCTACTCCTCTCCTCTTCCTCCTTTTCCTCCTCCTCTCCTCCTCTTACTCCTACTCCTCACCCTACTCCCTCCTATTCCTCTTCCTCTCCTCCTCCTCCTCCTCTTCCTCCTCCTCCTCTTCCTCCTCCTCCTCCTCCTCCTCCTTTCCTCCTCCTCCTCCTCCTCACCTACTCCCTCCTATTCCTCCTCCTCCTCCTCACCCTACTCCCTCCTATTCCTCCTCCTCCTCCTCCTCACCCTACTCCCTCTTCCTCCTCCTCCTCCTCCTCCTCCTCCTCCTCCTCCTCCTCCTCCTCCTACTCCAACTCCTTACCCTACTCCCTCCTATTCCTCTTCCTCCTCCCTCTCCTCCTCCTCCTCTTCCTCCTTCTCCTCCTCCTCCTTCTCCTCCTCCTCCTTCTCCTCCTCCTCCTCCTCCTCCTCCTCCTCCTTGTCTTATTTCCTGGCAGCAGAGACAGAGATGGAGGCAGCTTCTGTTTCAAAGATACCTGCGTCCTCTCCTCCTCAGTTAGTGAAGTTCATTCTCTCCGTTAGCTAAAGTTAGCTGAGCTGGAAAAAGACTTCTAACCTTTTCACTCTGCAATTAAACATCCTGAAATGTTTGCATGTTTGTCAGATGTGTTGACTCTTGTGGCTCTCTCAGTCTCAGTCTCTTATTTTATCCCTCACAGGCAGACAGCTATGCAGAGGCTGTAAAATGTGTTTCACTTCTATCTCTTCTTTCCACCTGCGGTGTTTGGACAGTTTTATTGGTGCTCTGCCACACTCTCAAAGTTAGATGGATACCTTTCTGTGTGATGTGGGTGGAGGAGAGAGGCAGAGTTTGTTCTGTGCAGAGACACTTTGTGAAAAAACAAATGGGGAGTGCTGCAGCAGAAAGTAAAAAAGAAAGAAAACCAAAACAACAACTTATTATCTTACATTTACATTATAGGTAGTAAATACAATTCTGCAATTCATTTAGCAAACGTGAAGTGGCAGATATCAGAGAGTAAGTACAACACAAGCGAGGATCTAGAGAGGAGGAGGCAGGAAGTGCAGACAGACAGCTTTAAGTCCGAGTGGACACACATGTGCTGAAAGAGGCAGAGCACAACATCAACAGCTGATCTTTAGAGTTCTAATCAGCATCAAAACCATCCTGAATATCGTCATCATCATCAATAGTATCAAGTGCGTAAGTGTTCATAAAGAGCTGGGTCTTTAGTTTTTTCTTAAAGGTGCAGAGGGACTCTGCAGATCACATGGAGTTTGGAAGTTCATTCCACCACCGGGGGGCGACAGAGGCTAGTTGGAGACTTGGGGCCCTACTGTGAAGGTTGGATCAGACGTCTTTCATTGGCAGAGTGTAGCGGGTTGGGAGTGTAGACCTGGATGAGAGAGTTAAAGTAAGGAGCAGACGTTTTTGTCGTTGTTTTGTAAGCGAGCAGCAGAGTTTTAAATCTGATGCGAGCAGTAACTGAGAGCCAGACCAGTGGAGTGACATGTGCTGGTCTGGGTAGGTTGAATACCAGTTGAGCTGATGCGTATTGGATCTGCTGCAGGGGAGTGATGGTGCATAAATAGCAGGATGCAGTATGTATATTGTTTAACTGAGGATCCATTAACATATAACTTTTAAGAAAAAAGGTGTAAACATTGGATGTTTTCATGTTTTCATAAACTTATTGTGTGTGTGTGTGTGTGTGTGTGTGTGTGTGTGTGTGTGTGTGTGTGTGTGTGTGTGTGTGTGTGTGTGTGTGTGTGTGTGTGTTTGCAGCCCTTCCTCATCACAGAGAACATGTGGCCTCGGGGTTGTGTCCTGGACTGCCACAGGGGGCGCCACAGAGCTGTGTGTGGGAGCAACGGCAGGCTGTATAAATCTCTGTGCTCCTTCCAGAGAGCTCAGTGCATCAACACACAGCTCCGCCTCGCTCCACGCACACACTGCTCAGGTACACACACCTGTACTCATGCATCATCACCATCTTGTCATAGAGTCATCATTATTACATGTTTCCTGTGTTGTTCTCTACGTTTAGGGACATTTTTATGTTCTTTCAGATGCTGTAAAAAGTAGCTGTCTCTGATATCTTGTAGGGTACTGATGTCTGGACTTCCCTTTCCTTTTAGACTCGGGTCAGACCAAATGCCAGCTGGCCCGGGTCCAGGCTCTGGAGGCCAGCTCCCGCAGCGGCGGCCGTCACGTTAGCCCAGCAGCAGCCATCTTTATTCCAGAGTGCCACCCTGACGGCCACTTCCTGCCTGTTCAGTGTCACAACCAGACCGGGTACTGCTGGTGCTCCACGGCCGACGGCAAGCCTGTGAGCGGGACCTCAGTCCTCCATGTGATCCCCAACTGCACCGGTCAGACATACTCAATATTCATGTTCAGATATTTATTTAAACACATAGATGAGACATTAATATTGATTCTTTGACTGCCTGATGAACTGGAGTTAGAAACACAATCCCTACAGAGAGAGCGCTGTCTAAAATGAAGCTCCTAAATCTTTGAGTTGGAGGGGAACTTGCGAAATCAAATAATATCCATACTTGTTTTTGATTCCGCAGCGACACAAATAGAAGTCTTTGGCGTGCAGAATTGGCGAGATTTTCTTGTTTTTAATTACCAAAAGCTGCAGGCAAACCCAGTGGTGTAGTGGTGCCTGAAGAAGTGAATACTCTTCATTTTTCCCCGTCCAGCGGAGGATAAACGACCTCTATTACTAACAATGACATAAGACTTGCATGCTAGTCAATAGGAGACAGAGTAGAGAGAGTCATCCCTTCACCGTGCATTGCCAAGAAATGTGTGCAAGATTTTGTTCCAGGCAGCTTTTGGTTATAAACATGTCTTAAGATATGTCGTTATTTTAAGCTCTAGTCATTTTTGAAATTCTTTTGATCATTAAGATAACTGAGATTGAATTGCTTTAAAACCAAATTGTGTTTAATAGTTCGGCAAAGACCTGCTAACTGTTTTCAATGAGTCACTTATCTGTCTGTGCTGCCTCGCAAAAACATCTCTCTGTATCACAGTAAACCTTTACAGTAAATGTAGAAGTGAGCTGTTAGCAGGATGGGTCATTACTTTCCCTTCTTTATATCACATTTAGTTTGTCTCAGTTTGTCTTTTAACTGAAGAAAATAAATAAATGTAAAGTAGAGAATCTCAAAGTCATTCATCCAGAGGGAGTCTCACCAGCTCAGTGTGTCTGTCTGGAAAACTGAAACAAATATATGAAGCCAAAGTTTTGTTAAAAACACTTAAATCTGCATGAAGGTGTGTTTTTTTAATGTTGTGTTTGTGTAGTGTGTGTCCTCCAAACAGCTGTTCTGTGTTTATGTGTTATCTCAAACAGATCACTTGACCACGTTAGCTCAGAGCGTGGATGCAGCTTCAGCTCCGATAAAAGGTGACAAAGACATCTGACTCCTCACACTCTCTAAATCTGCCTCTATGTACTCGTTCTTTACATTCACTGAAAAGTGAGTTTCTGCTTTTCTCAGTTTTTCTTCCTTTCTTGCTTTCCTGGCACGGCACAGTTTGTCTCTGAGCCAGACACACCTGCTGAACCTCGAAACTTTCTCACACGGCTCCACATGCCAAGACCTCAAAAAATGTCTCTCCGTTTCATTTTCACTCTTTTCTCCTCTGAGTCTTCACACACTTCACGCTCTCATTGTATTCTCACTCTCACACACTTTTTTCTTTTATGTTCCAGATGACGGCGATGAACCCGAGCCAACTTCAGTTCCCAGAAAGTCTGCAGGTGAACCACTGAACTTTCTCCAGAAAGAATTCTTTGTTGTGCAAATCAAAGTCACAAAACGGTTACCATGACTCCCATGTGCTTTAGTACTTATGCACAGATCTCTGTACCACCACTGAATACAACTCATTTGTTTTAACAGAGATCCATGCTGTAATGAAGCGTCACTGATTTATCAGAGCAGAATAAGTATCTGTGGGTTTATGTCTTCAGTCAGACAGACTTCCTGAACAAGTTATAGATCCATACTAAACATATTCCCTGCTTTAAATGTATCTCACAAGTTTTTATTCTTCATGTTTCTGTACAGTTTAAACCTTATGTATGAACCCCAAACATCCCCCCAAAAAAGAATCTATCGCAGGTATGAGCTGAATATAACTTTTACAGCAGAATCAATCCAAATATTACACCTGGGTTATCTCTAAAATGCCTTCTACTGTGTGCAACTTTCAAAGCAAAACAAAAGCTCTCTTTGGACTCCTCTCCTTCATACCTCATCTCCTCCCTCCCTCCTGCCTACATACTGTTTTCCTCACCTCTCCCCTGTTTCTCCAACAAGTGACTGTGAGACGGAGAGCAGCAGACAAGCTCTGATAAATGTCTGAAAACAAGATTCTGCCACCAATTTCAAGAGACTGTATGTATCTCAGAGTTAATTCAGTGGTTATATGTTTGAGTCTACTGGTTCTTCATTAGTTGAACTCCTGCAGTGTGGGCGGGGTTGTCTACTCCCTCATACGGTGGCAGGGCTGATGATGAGAGAGGGAGGGGTTCACCTGGAAAAAAAACATGTATGAGACATGTTTCAGCGCCTGAGTGACACATAAACAAACTGAAGGAAGCACCGTCCCATCAGTGTGAACACAGTGTTGATAAACAAACCCAGAGAAGTCATTATTCCAACATATATTTACAAGCTAGAAACTAATGTCTATTTGTTTTGTTTCTTTGTTTTCCTGTGCAGAGCTGACAGCTCCTCCGTTCTGGGTCACCATCCTGATGAACTCTGACTCCAAAGCTAACCGCTCGGCCCGACGACCCACAGGTAAGAGAGTCAGGGCACCTGCTGTGTGAGTGAGGGGAAGGACTGATGTGCAAAGTTTGGAGTGCAACTCAAATTGACAAATAATAAACACAAAATTTAATCAGGCAAAAAAATGATATTTGATATAAGCATGAGATTTGTGTGCCACCCCAATGCCCCGCAGACGAGCCTAACAACTCACCACATCAATGCATCCTCAGGTCCGACCAGGTTAAAGACACAAAAAATAAATCTTCAAAAAAGATATTTAAATGATAATAATATATAATATAATAATATAAATGTTTCTTAGTGAAGTCATAGTAAGTGCTCTGTGTGTGTGTGTGTGTGTGTGTGTGTGTGTGTGTTTGTGTTTGAACATGTGCAGACAGTCCTCAGACGTGTGAGCGCGAGCGGGAGGCGTTGCTCTCTCAGGTGCGTTCAGTCTGGCAGGACGAAGAGCGCTTCATCCCAGAATGCACTGCAGACGGACGCTACAGCCCGGCGCAGTGTCATGCAGCCACAGGCTACTGCTGGTGTGTGAGGGTGGACAGCGGCAGGCCGCTGCCGGGAACCTCTGCAAGGTCATCAATCAACCAATCAATTACTTTCCTTTTCTCCTTTCCTCACAATCTGTCATCTTGTGATTCTTTGATTTCTTTCTCCTTCCTTGATTCCCTTTACTCTCCTCATTAGATCACAGAGGTTTTTAAAGGCACAGATACTGTAGACGCACAGAGGCATTTCATCCTGATCATCCAATTTTACACCAATTACTATCCCACGTTCCCGAGTGGTTTCCCTTTGAGGAAACACAGAGAACAAATCAGAGTAAATTGCGGTTGGCCGGTTTTTGTTCTCAGGAGGTTTTTTTTTTTTTTTTTTTTTTTTTTTATCAGCGAGTCGATGCTCAGCTGAACAAACTCCTGAGAGGAAACTGTTGGATGTTTTCATGTGAAGGATTTCTGTGCTCCACTGGTGTGAGGAGAAGTCCCGCAGGCCAAATCATGTTTTTTTATCTTCACTGCTGACAGGCGGTGTAAACGCCAGCTCGGGTTGTAGTTAATTAGAAAGTGTTTGATTTCATTATTTATCAGGAGAGCAACTCTTTTAGTTGGCAGTTTTTAATATTTATCTTTTGAACGGGGTTTAGAAGAGTCTTTTAATAACACAATACAAGATCATTTGAGATACAGTGTTTAATTTTACAGTATTTTATTTTCTTGATGTGTTTTTACTTTGATTAACTTCAGCAGCTGGCCTTTCATAAAATAAAGATTTAAAAGCTGTGATGCATGTTTGAGATTTAAAGTTTAACTCTTCTTTTTGCAGGAATCGTATCCCAGACTGCACTGGGGCAGAGGAGACTTCAACAGAAAGGAGGATCAGGGAGAAACCTCTGCCAGGTAAATATGAGTTTCTTTTCTAGAAACTGAATGATCAGAAATTTGGTTAAAAAAAAAACCTCATGAATGTTTGTTTACTGAGATAGGTAGATGGATAAAATGAAGGATTTAATGGAGGTTATGAAGACTGGGCTGCACACATCAAACAGGAGGGAGGTCACTCTCTCACTGCAGGGTCTGACTGCCGCCTTATGGAGCGACCTATCGCTATGGTTACAGTCTCTTCTCTGCTCCTGCAGGATGTCCTGGAGCTCGTAAGAAGCAGTTCCTGCAGAGTCTGGTCAGAGCTCTGCAGCTGGAAGCAGTGCATGCTGGAAGTCTGAGTCCAAACAGGTCAGTTCTTGCTGTGATTTAGGATGTCTCCCTGAATCCCCCCCCCCCCCCCCCCCCCCCGTTTACAATCAACTGATTAAACTATTCAGAGTTTATTAATGAGGAATTTCTGCATGAGAAAAGAAAAAGACCTCAGACACAACGACAGTTTGCATTTAATTAGTGACTGCTCGTGATGTGATGATTGGTTTTATCCACACAGCAGCTGTTTGATGAGTGAATGCATGACTTAGGGGTTTCTCCCTGTACATGTGCCATCGTCATAGACATGTCATACTGTAAAAAACAGAAAGGCACATCAAACCTTAAATCTACTAGCACAACATCCCAGAAGCCAACAGGCTTAAAGGCTTTATATGTGATGTTTTGATCCAGCAGATGTCGCCCTTGAGCACCAGCATGAAACCAAAACAACTCGCGCTGCATTGTTGTGTTAGCATGCTAATGCTAGCGATCTTTATTATGCTGGTATCTTCACACTGCATGTAAATTTAGCTGAAATGAGCGTGATCTAGAAACACAGTTAAGCAGTGAGTACAGTATGTTATTCTTCTTTTCTCTAGTCCCTCAATTAAACAACTTTTATACACGAGGGGAGGAGTCAGCCGGCCGTCCCGGCGATGTAAACAAAGTGAAGATAGGACTCTGAAAACTGTGAAAACATCACAGACAGTGGGACTCGGGTGTTACACCCATTGTAGACAGTCATGACTCACAGAGTTATTTTCAGAGGATATTCTTGATTTCTATTTAAGTGTGAAAAATCACATATAAAGCCTTTAATGACACAAGCCATGTTAAATCTCCTTATTAAATCTACCTTGCTTAGTCTGCAACCTGCCACCCGTCTATGGATGCAGAACCGTCCTCATGTTTGCTTCAGCCTCTAAGGAGCTGCTCAGACAGCCAAATGAAAACCAATTTCACGCTTCAGTGAACGCCGAGCTGATCCAGAATCAGACAAACTAATGGAAACTGTCAAAAACCTGAGCAGACCGACTCCGTCTGTTTCTCTGCCAATCAGTGATTCAAATCTGAAGTATTTACCTCCTTCCCTCCATCTGTTACTCTCTCATTTCAACATGCAGGTTTTTCAGGTCTCTGCTTCGTCTTCACATCTTCTTCCTCTTCTCCCTCTTCTCATTTGATGTAATCTGTGTCTCCTCCTCTTCTTTGTGCATTTATCTCACTTTCCCGCCCTCTCAGCAACTCCCAACATAAACAGCAGACTTGTTATTCCGAGAAAACCACTGCAACATCTCTCTCTAACACACACACACACACACACACACACACACACACACACACACACACACACACACACACACACACACACACACACACACACACACACACACACACACACACACACACACACACACACACACACAGCGTACAGGTTTAACATCCATCATCGTCTTGCTGTTCCATCAGCTCCAGGTTTGTTTGTGTTTTTGCTCTGATAAAGAAACTTGAAGTCGATAAGGAATCCCGGAGCCTCCTCGGTAATTCAGTTTTTCCGCACGCTGTCATGTCCTCCTGCAGTTTGATATTTATTGAGCTGTGTGGGAATAGAGGTGTTGATGCATTTAGTGAAGGTGTGAAACACTCAGAAAGACTTTATCAGGAGTAACAGAGAAGTGATGACAGCGCGTCCTGTCGACGTCAGCGCTCTGCTGTAAACATTATTCTCACTGAAGCTGCTGACATAAAATACTGACGTTCAGGTTTGATCAAGTCTGTGAAAGATCCACAGAGGTTATAAAACTTTTCAATACAAGTACTTGTGCTTTAACTTGACTAGAAGTTAGTACATGCTGTGTTCCAGCTTTTAAAAAAAGAGTATTAATGACTTTTACTCGATTTCAAACTTCCTTTAAATATTTTAGATTTAACATTTTCAGGACTACTAAGAAGGGAATCTTGGTAGTAATATATCGCAGCCTATTATCATAAAGCAATAAATCTTTTTTATATTTAGTTTCATCGTCACATACATCACATCAATTCCCCCCGTCAGCACTCATCTCTTGAAAATAAAGCTGTGGTCGATTTTCTTTGAAGATTTCTACACTTGAAAAGTTCCTTAAAGAATATTACTCAAATTAGTTGACCATTCAAGATTAGTTTAGTCAGTGATTTATTCAACCACACCAGACGTAAACAGAGGTAGAAACAGTTTGTAGTGTTTGATTCATTTCTGTTACACTGGAGCTTTCTCGTTCTAAGGCAAATACCCCCTGGTGTAGAAAATTGAAGCCCTCCAAGTCACATTCACAACCCACATAAAACCCACTATCTATAAATAAACATGTTTACATCTGGTCACACGAAAAGATTTAACTCTGAATAGTTCATGTCTTTAGCAGCAACAAACCTTAGGGGGGGTTGAAATCCCTTATAACTCAAACTTTTTTGATTTTATGAAGGATTGGAGTTCAGGGCATGACTGATATGACAGCTAGCAGGAAACACTTTTGTAGCTGTTGTTTCTGTTTGTGACAGTAGGAGGCTTCAGGGCTCGAAGGGCCTGAGATAGCATCTCCAGAATCACTTGAAAAGTCTGCTTCAGTAACTAATGGATGACCTCACTGAGACTACGTCCATGTTTTTTTACAGTCTGTTTGATTCCTGATAAAAGCATCTGTTTAAACATTTCAAAACATTCCTGCAACTTAATATATCTCTGCACTTTTGATCTGTTTCCTCAATATCATACAATTGTTTTTTGTTTTTTTTACAAAATAAAACCAAAGTCTGTTTCTATCTATTCACAACTTCAGAAGATCACCACTTTTTTTTTTTTTATATTCAGGTCTAATTACAGATTTTCTTCCCTCAACTGTTTATAGCTTCTTGTTTAAATTGTTCATATATTTTTATCCCTGCATGGGTTATGTACATTTCTTGTATAAGTCTATTTTTTAATTGCACAGTTTAAGTTTGATTCATCTAGAGGTATTCTTTAAATCTTTTTTCAGGTTAATATATATGTATGTGAGGGGGGGGCGTCGGTTTTGTGGTTTAATTTGTAACAAATGTTTCATGTCATGTCTTTGTAACCTGCTACTGGGTGATTTGAATTTCCCTCAGGATCAATAAAGTATCTATCTATCTATCTATCTATCTATCTATCTATCTATCTATCTATCTATCTATCTATCTATCTATCTATCTATCTATCTATCTATATATATATCTATCTATCTATCTCTAAACACCCAAATCTCTTCCTCTCGTCTCTTTCCAACAGAGCCTCAAACAGCTCTTCATCCTTCAACACTCCCGTCGCTACCACTCCCTCCTCCTCCTCCTGGACTCAGGACATTGTGTCTCCTGCTGCTCCGGGGACAGGACAGTACTCCAGACCAGAGGAGGCCCTGCGGTGGCATTTCAGTCATCTGGATCTGGACTCCAGCGGGGTGCTGAGTGAACGCGAGGCTCGACCTCTCCGTCAGTTCCTGCGACGAAGGCTGAAGCCGCGACGGTGCGCCAAGAAGTTCTCTCAGTACTGCGACCGAGACGGAGACCGAGGCCTGACGCTGGAGGAGCTGAGGGTCTGCCTGAGCCTCTGAGGGGGGGGGGTCAGAACCAGGTGGGTTTGATTTGATCCACTTCAAGAAACATGAGACTTTTCAATCCTCGTGTTTTTACATCTTAATTCAGGCTGCTTTCAAAGTCCATCAACCCACAGAATTAGATTTGTTCTGTGTCTGTGATAGACAGGGGACATGATACATCACTGTGTCTATCATGCAGCTACACACACACACACACACACACACACACACACACACACACACACACACACACACACACACACACACACACACACACACACACACACACACAGGCTGAGCTTAAAGCGTCTTTTTCTCCTCTCTGGCTTGTTGCTCCTGTTGGTCGAGAGAGAGAGAGAGAGAGAGAGAGAGAGAGAGAGAGAGAGAGAGAGAGAGAGAGAGAGAGTAGAGCGTTTCTGACCAGCTGCCAGACAAATTACACACACCGGTGTATCAGTGTGTGTGTGTGTGTGTGTGTGTGTGTGTGTGTGTGTGTGTGTGTGTGTGTGTGTGTGTGTGTGTGTGTGTGTGTTTCTTCATGAAATCAAAACAGACGAGGGCAGCGGTTAAATGGGCCGCTTGTCAGTGAGCGATCAGTCACAGCTCAGCCGTGACACACACTCACTAATCAGGCAGCCACAGACGGCATGACAGCTACAGGACTCTGTGTGTGTGTGTGTGTGTGTGTGTGTGTGTGTGTGTGTGTGTGTGTGTGTGTGTGTGTGTGTGTGTGTGTGTGTGTGTGTGTAAGCAGCAGGGCAGTCAGCATGTTATTATGACTGTGTCATTCGTTTAACCCGCCTCGTACAAAGAGTCTGCTTCTATTTGAATATTAGCGTCATGTAAAGAGCTCACAGTGCCTCTCTGTAAAGATCAAATCCACCTTCATGGAAAAAGTGCAGTATACAGTAAGTGGTACATACTATGTGCTGTATAGTATGTGGCATAGTATGTTGTCCCCGAAGGGCGATTGGTTTTGCGGCAAGACAGAAAAAGGGCAACAGAACAAGACAAAAGTACATCGTAGGTAACACGGTGAAAAGCAGAATGCAAAATGCAAGCGGCACTAGATACAGCAGAGAAACAACCAAGATCATTGACTGAGGCTCACAGCAGCTTTCATCAACATAAAGTGCAGAGTCCACATGAAATATAAGCAGCTCACTGTTAAGTATACATCAGGGATAAGATTCAAAAGAGCATCTTTACAAGACAAGTCAGATACATATCATACAAAACCACAATAAGATCAGCCTATATGAAAGAGTAGGCTTGGCGTCTGGTTTGCATTAAATCCTTTATGTTCATATAAATTCATCATCAGACTGAATCATCCACACTGCAACTCCATTCCTTTAGTGATAAACTCACAGAAAGCATCTCATATTTTCAGTATTTAAAATCATGATTGAGGTCACACTTCAATCCTCCAGAGTAACCTTTGATCATAATCTATCAGCATGAAATATCAATAAAACGGACGATTCATGTTACTATTTACTTTGAACAGTTTCACTGATTTCACTGCTGATCCAACTCTTTAAAGGCTTTATATGTGATTTTTTGATCCAGCAGATGTCGCCCTTGAGCTCCAGCATGAAACCAAAACAACTCGCGCTGCATTGTTGTGTTAGCATGCTAATGCTAGCGATCTTTATTATGCTGGTATCTTCACACTGCATGTAAATTTACCTGAAATGAGCGTGATCTAGAAACACAGTTAAGCAGTGAGTACAGTATGTTATTCTTCTTTTCTCTAGTCCCTCAATTAAACAACTTTTATACACGAGGGGAGGAGTCAGCTGGCCGTCTGGGCGATGTAAACAAAGTGAAGATAGGACTCTGAAAACTCTGAAAACATTCAGACAGTCATGACTCACAGAGTTATTTTCAGAGGAGATACTTGATTTATATATTTAAGTGTGAAAAATTACATATAAAGACTTTAACAAGCAATACTTTACAGACCACACTAAGTGTTTGTGAGTTTTCATATGGTAGAGTCAGACTGTTGACCGCTACGAGTGAAATCCTGGTAGTTTAAGTAATGAAGAATGAGGACAGTTCAGGTTCATTAAAAGGACGTCAGGCTGATATTAAAGGTGACACTAAAGACCTCTGGGAAGGTATTCCTTCAGTTAAAGGTCCAGTGTGTAATATAAAGAAGATCTATAGGCAAAGTAATGCAATTTAATATTCATGTGATGGTTAAAGTGCTCATTAATGTAAAGTTAGCTGGACATGAAATCACCAGCATATATCTGTTTTAGCTTTTTTATTACCCAAGAATCAATTCTTCATACCTATAGGAGGAGCAGGTCCAGCATGTTGAAGCCTCACACTAATAAAAGCTGGTTTAGAGGCGGCCCACTGAGGTTTGTGCTAGATTTGGGGCTGGAGGGGGATTTCTTACCGATTAACTTCTTCAAACTTTTCCTTTTAGATTTTATTTGTCAAACTTGTATCTTTTTTCCCCGCATCTCTTTATTTCCATGATGTCTATATTATCAAGCACCTTTAGGTAAACATGTAGAAGAACAGTAGACAGCACACTGTCCATGTCCATACTTGTCCACTCCCACTCCCACCCCAATAAAACAACAAGTATCATTTAAGGTCACATATTATATAAAATCCTCTTCATCATGTTTCTCTAACTCTAATATGTGTCTTTAGTCCGTCTACAAACCCCCCAATGATGAGAAAACTCCATCCTCTCCGTCTTTTGCCTGCTCCACTTTTCAGAAAATGTGTGCTCAAACAGGCCGTTTGGAGATTTTCCCTTCATGACATCACAAAGGGCAGTAGCCCCTCCCCCAGGTGGGTGACACTCCCACAGCTAGGTGTTTGTTCTACCCTCTGAGTCTGCCTTCTCACCGTAAACAATAGGACATGGAGCGAGAAAGCACAGAGTACACCCGAGCCCTTCCAGAGAGGGGGCGTGGTCAGACACAGCTCATTTACATATTTAAAGGTACAGACACAGAAACAGCCTGTTCTGAGCAGGGCTGAAATAGAGGGGTTTATAGACATGATCAAATACAGGATCAGAGTGGATTTAGAACAAGAAACTTCACACACATGTTTTGAGGAGCTCTGAGACTTATTTACACTGAAGAGGAGGAGGAGGATATGTCACCTATAAAGTTTGAGTTCATGAAAACATTCTTGCACAAACACAAACCTGCATATTTTATATAAAATAAAACACAAAACACCAGAAACAAAAACAAAAACAAAAACAGGGGTTATGAAAAACAGTAACATAGTAAGTGTGTATGATAATTCATGGTGTATAAATCTTTAGATAAAAGCTTGTGGTCTTCACCTTTCCAAGTCTGTTAGTGAATACTCCCGGAGAATCTTTTAAAGGAGGAACATAACAGGACCAAAGGTCTCAAAACATTTGTCCTCAGTTGTTTTTTTTCGAAAATGTAACAATACTGAAGGTTGGTGTAGAATCATCTTGAAGGTTTGGTGTGGGGGGGCTTGTATGTTTGAGATGAAGAACAATCTGTGGTGTTTGAATCTGATACAGTGATTATCCAGATGTTTATTCAGGATCATCTCTAAACGTGATCATCTCAGGAACCGCCTGAAAGTTACTTCTGATTCTGGATATTGAAAGAATATTTTGAGGCCTTAAAAATGTTAAACTTTCATTGTTCATGATTGGCATAGAGTCTGCATTCTAACTATTGCAGACAGATCCCGATGTATCGCTGCAGAGGACTGGAGGCAGCTCTGCACATGTAGTGCTGATAAAGACTGCTCATGTTCTGAGTACACCTCAGCCTGTCAGACTAATGTTTACATAGCTTTGCTTTTTCATCGAGCGTCCACAGAGTTTATAATGTTCAGAGTTAGAGTGAGGAGAGGGGGAAGAGATAAGACTGAGAGGGAAATATAAACATGGAAGGTGTGTGAGAGGAGGAGCAGAGAGAGAGAGACGAGCTGAAGGTGGGAGATAGAGAGAGGACATGAGGGGGGACGAGGGGAATTCACATGTTAAGGAAAAGGGCGAGAGAGAGAGAGAGCGAGGGAGGTTGTGACATTAAACGAACATGTGTCAGGGAGAGATAGCAGTGACCTCCTGCTGCAGACACCCAGATGTTCACAGAGAGGAGAGAGATTCAGCAGAGCTCAAAACATTTTTTTTTCTTCTGTTTTTATTTTTTCTTAATCTTTTCTCCCTCTCTCTTCTCACCCAGAAAGCGACAAGACAAATCACCTGGTGACCGGGGTCAGCTCTTTCTCCTCCACATCACTGTCACCTCTCGAGAGTCTGATTACTCATCCGTTAAATCACAGACTGTTCACCGCTCACCAAACACTCCGATAGCTCACACTGGTCAGAAGACAGAACCCCTCTTTTTTTCTAACGTCTTCTTCGGTGCAGTTTTTTTTTTTTTTTGCATCCTGCCTGTCACCTTTCCTGCCCTCTTGTCTCCTCTGTCCTTTTGTTCCTTCCTTCAGTGTCTACTCTCCTATGTTTCCATAACTTTCTCTTTTCCTCCTCTTCCTGTCCTTTATCTCTCTCCCTCACTTTTGTTGAATCCCGCCTCAGTTTTTCTTTTTTGTGCCGATTTTTCATATTCTGATAATATATTGATGTAACATATTTTGAGAAACATTTAATGAATGTTAAGTCACTTTTTTGTACTTCGTATTTTTGTGCACAATCCGTCTGCGGCACGCAACTTGTTGCTGATGAACGATTGAATGTTTGTAAAGAGATTTCAATAAAACGACCTCACACACAGCGTGCATATTGTCCGACAGTAATAGTGTAGTGTGTAGAGTTAAAGCCGCGTCGTCATCTCTCATTGGTCTGACAGGACGGTCGCTTGTTGCCACAGCAACAGCTTCCCTATCTGCTGCTTCACAACAAAACAAATAATGAGATCAACAGGAAACAATAACGGCCACAGAAGGTCTCATAAAGCAACATCAACTTTATTTCCCACGATGCATTAGCTCCCTCCCAGGTTCATCACTGTGGTTTAATCTGATCAGACAAGACATTAACAAGGCGTCCTATCAGCACTGTGTCCAGTGTGATTTTTCTTCTTTCTGTGGTGTCTGAACTGAGCCTGAGGGCCCATGTGACAACGTGTTGGTGTCTATTTATTGTCATCAGCTCCTAAGAAAACCACCATGAAGCTCCAATAACACCCTGAGGACGATGTTAAGACACAAGAGTTTAGTCTCAGTGACGACCGTCTGCTTATCGGCCTCTGAAGGACAATCTGCAGAGGTCAAAGGGCACAGCGGACGTTCTCAGTGACCCTAAAAAAAAACAGCAAAAGAATAGACCACATCTGTGTGAGATGCAGCTTCCTCTCTTCATCTCAAAGTGACTTCAAACAACACGTGGTGAACAAAACAGACAAGTGAACATCTGTGAAGTAAACGCTCATATAGAGAAGTTTGTGTCTTCATTATCAGTTGATGTTTCCACTGACACACCTGTACTCAACACCTATCAAACTGAAGGCAGTATCAGCCTCTCTGCTGTCTTCAGGTTAAAGAGGAGGCTGTAAGGGGTGTGATGTGATATATCTGTGACCAGCAGATGGCGCTGTCGCTCTGAGGCAGCAGTGATGGAGGCTCCTGCACACACACACACACACACACACACACACACACACACACACAGTGTATTGCTCCCCAGACACACCCTGATAGTCCCAGCCTCTGCTGAACAGACGGTAAACATTGCATGATGATAGATTTCATTAACACACAGCTATAGATTTTATGATAACTCCAGATGCTCATGAGATGGAGGCAACGGAGTTAGAGCCCCGAGAAGAGGAGGGGGATAAGTATGGATTGTGTAAATTATATGAAATATAGATGAGCCGAGGCATTTAAATGTATACGTTTGTAATGGTTACTGGGACGATGCTGCTGTATGTGTGTGTGTGTGTGTGTGGTGTGTGTGTGTGTGTGTGTGTGTGTGTGTGTGTGTGTGTGTGTGTGTGTGGAGAATGAGTGAATGTGTGTGTGTGTGAGAGAATGAGTGAATGTGTGTGTGTGTCCCAGGGTGACACACTGAGAGTGAAGTGCTTTACTGAGCTCATGACTAACAACAAAGAAAAGGCTGCAGGTCACAAGGCATCAATCTGCCAAGGATTTCAGACCAGGAAAACACACACACACACACACACACACACACACACACACACACACACACACACACACACGCGGTAGAGTTTCCCCAGGACATTTGCATGCTGGGATTAATCTATAATTCATCCAGTGAATCCATACCTGCCATTTTCTCCTCGCTGTTTTTGTGATCACGAGGCCACACGTCCAGATGGAAACAGTAAAAGATTTATCATAAAAACGTGCTGACTGCAGGAGAATGTAACACAACACACACACCACACACACACACCACACACACACACACAGGCAGGTGCAGACTAATACAGGTTTATACAAGTTTATCAAGGTTGAACACGTCACATGATTCTGATTTTATAGAGGTAAAAAAAAACATGAAGACCGACTCTTTAAAGAAATATTTTGCAATTTACAAAGTATGGCAGCCTCATTAGCATATTGTGGGAGCTGATGTGATTGGATTGTATTCTGTGCAATAAATAAAAGTTCTTATATCGGTACATGTGATAATATATATTATTGAAATCGCATTCCCTGTTTTGTTTTGTTTTGTGGCTCTTGCTTATGTCATATTTTGTGCAGGTTGACTATTTTTTTGTTTGCATCTAATTTTTATTTGTCAGACTTGACTCTGACCGGCACCCCAAATTAAAACCTTTTCAAACCCACTACAAGGTTATAGCGTCATCACGGGGTCGACTGAGGCGGTGGTGGAGGGCTCAATGAGATATCTGTTCATGGGGCCCAGAAGTCCTGTAGATGCCCCTGATTCTGAAGTCAAATTAAAATGACCAAAAAAACTTGGTTCTAAAGTTCACACAGTCATCGACCTCCGCTGTGCGTTCTGCCTCTCTGCAGCGCCGCTGAAAATGAAAGTGTTTGTGGTCAGTTCTGGCTCCGTTTTGCGGCCGCAGTGATTAATTAGCAGTTTGTCCGTTCTGAGAAAGTGCAGCCATTACATCCCCGTCAGCAGGATGGAGGATTCAGTAATTGTAATGAAATCGATGTGGACTCAAAACGTGGAGGAACCATAAAGTGCCCGGGCATCCTGAGGAAAAGCTACGCGCTCATATTTGTGGGGATAATTGGCTTCCTCCGTGCTGCGGTGTTCTTTGACCTTGGAAACGGATCCCTGGGGAAATATAAGGGCTCGGGATGTAGAGGGAAGCGTTGTAATAAGACCACAGAGTTATGTTCAACACACATCAGTGATTGTTTGATACGAGGAGTGTTACATGAAAGGTTCAGGGTCAGATTCATACTTACAGTACATCTCTGTTTAAAGGCCCCATTGGTCTCTCAGCTACAAACACACAGCTGAGACTGTTTCAGTGCTAACAGGGAATCTCTGGTGGTACAAAGTCTTCACTGGTGGTACAAAGTCTTCTCTGGTGGTACAAAGTCTTCACTGGTGGTACAAAGTCTTCTCTGGTGGTACAAAGTCTTCATGGTGGTACAAAGTCTTCTCTGGTGGTACAAAGTCTTCACTGGTGGTACAAAGTCTTCTCTGGTGGTACAAAGTCTTCACTGGTGGTACAAAGTCTTCTCTGGTGGTACAAAGTCTTCATTGGTGGTACAAAGTCTTCTCTGGTGGTACAAAGTCTTCATTGGTGGTACAAAGTCTTCTCTGGTGGTACAAAGTCTTCACTGGTGGTACAAAGTCTTCATTGGTGGTACAAAGTCTTCACTGGTGGTACAAAGTCTTCACTGGTGGTACAAAGTCTTCACTGGTGGTACAAAGTCTTCACTGGTGGTACAAAGTCTTCACTGGTGGTCAGATTCACAGAGGCCGATATGAAGTCATTACCCGCCTCAGTACTTTAGACATTACTTAGAAATGTTACACGTTTACACCAAACCTTGAGAATGACTGGTTCCTATTGTCTGTCTCAAAGCTGCAATTAAATCATTTTAGATTAGCACCCAATCAGATAAACACCATGAGGAGGATTCAGTATCATCAGGGCTGCAGAGGGTGCACCAGTGTCCTATAGCGATAAGTTGTACAGAGGATGTTGTCTTCCAAGCGGACGGCTTGGGTTTAAGTTCCACCTGTCTGTCCACACACTCTCTCTCTCTTTCTCCCCCCCGACTCGATCCACTGTCCTTTCTCAGTAAATGCATAAAAAGCCGTTAGCATCGTCCTGGTTCCCTCAAAAACCAGGACCAAAGATCAGGTGAAACTTCTGTTCTTATCAGTATCATTTCTGATACGTCCCATATATTGAGACAAAGTATTCAATGGACATGTTGACAGCGGGAGCCTATAGGAGCTCTTTTTTTAGCCTGCATCTTACAGTCAGGCCTATAATTCTCTTAACTTCTATTGGATAAATCCTGTGACGGGGGGAAGGGAATTAACTGGATTTTTTATTTCTGTCGACTATTTACTTCCTTGCAAACTATTTTTTTTTGACATTTCATTTTGTGCAGCAAATAAAATCCACTTTTATGAATGTGAAGGAAAAGTGCTCTTACCTGAAACAGAAGGTGACACTTGGCTAAAAACAAGCTACGCTAACAGGCTAACAGTTTAGTCTCCTCTATTGAGAGACACGTTCAGGACAGTTGAAGCAAAACCACAGAACTCAAATATTAAGGACTTTCAATACATGGACAGAATAGATCATAAATAATCAAACGAGCAGGTTTAAACCCCCACAGACGCTCTCTCCAGCTTCTCATAAAGTACCTGTATATCCATGAGGGAAATCAGGATATACAGATTCTGCTGTCGGCCACTCAGTTCATCAGGCAAGTGAAGGAGAAGTCCCGCTGAGGGGAAGGAGAGAGTGATTATGTCCTCTTGTGGGAGTGCAGGTCATAGCAGTGTTACATGTGGAAAGTATGCAGGCATGCAGCGGCACAGAATCGTTTTTTAAATGAAGTCTTATCGATGTGAAGTCCTGCACGTTATAATGGTCAGTGAACGAAAATGTCACCACCACAAATCTTTGCCATGATGACTTTAAACGTCCCTCAATCAATCACAATCCTTTTTTATTTACAGATAATTCATTACAAATATTCTATCAAGACACAAAAAGAGTTTAAATCCGACCTGTGGCTTCTTTCCCGCCCGTCGTTCCTCACTCTCTCTCTCCCTGACTCCATCCAACGTCCAGTTTCAGCAATGAAGGCTCTAAAAGCCCCAAAAACATCTTTAAAAACAAACAAACAAAAAAACAATA